GCGCCTTTTATGTTGGGAAGCGCTGGGCAGTGTACAGCATTTCAGAACCGAGCTGGGGTCAGGGAGGGAGAAGGGAGGGGAAGGGAAGGGGGATGACCGATGGCATGGCCGAAGAGGAGGGTCTTGAGGCGGAACTTGAAGGAGGCTAAGGAAGGGCTGAGGCGGAGTGATTGGGGGATGGAATTCCAGAGTTTGGGGGCAGAGTAGCTAAAGGCTCTCCCGCCAATGGTGGAACAACCCTGCAACAGTGTCTCAGCCCAATTGGAACAGGAAAAGGAAACAAATAGAATTATTTTTAAAATGCATTATGACAGAACAACATAAAACTTAATACAAAATTGTAATTTATTGACATCAGATTCAGAGGAGAATAAATGTTTCACTTTAGCAAAAAGAGATGAAAGTTTTGCAATTGAAAGTGCTGCCTCTGAAGTGAAGTTTAGAGAGCCAATCTGGTATTGTTAGGTAGCACTACCACAGGGTGCAGTTAACTTGAAACTGAAAACCACGTGAGCAAGGGTAATTATAAAAATAATAATTGCATTTGATGTCTCAATGCGGTTCACAGATTATATTCTAAAATGGATTGACTGTGAATTTTGTGGGTGAAATGCAGCAACCAATTTCACAGCAATTGCAGAGTACACAGGATGAGGAGATAGCTGCTGGCTTGAAAGATGATGGAAAGATCCAGACCACACTGAACTGTGAAGGCTGCTCTGCTTCCGAGTTCAAGAATATGCAGAATTGCTGCAAAACTGAAGTGTCATATTTGTCCTATTTTCTGAACAAAAATGAATCAACAATGTAGACACTTGTAGCAATTTATTTCCTTCCCTTCCGCCACGCTTTGTCATTGAAGCGTTTTGTACAGTAGCTGGGTTTGGTTTATCTGGAATCAGATGTGTCTGAGCCCAAATTCACTGGAACTACTAAACTGATTAGCAAGATCCTCTTTAAACCCCAATATGGTTTCACAGAAATTAGAAATGAGATCAGCCACATGGAGCCACAGCGGAACACAGTTCAAGTGAATTTTAAGGATGAGTGACTCTAAAGGACCAAGAGAGAAATAAAGTAATTTCATGAGAAATTAGATCTCAACATGAGAGCAGCTTTTCTCAGGGTACATGCAGCGCACCTCTCTTGCAATCTTATACTGGTTTATACCATTTCTTTCCAATTGTACTATATTTGCAGCAAGTAAGAAGAGAAAAAAGCCACTCCTCCTCTTCAACCGTACCCTTGGTCACCCTCTTACCCCTACCTTAATAATAATAATCCTTGCATTTGATATAGCGCTTTTCATGTCGGGAGGACGTCCCAAAGCGCTTCACAGAACACATTGTAAAGTGAATTTACTATATATTTGTGGGCGAACGCGGCAGCCAATTGCGCACAGCAATGTCCCACAAACAGTCGTAGATTGAAAATGACCAATTTATTATTGTTTTGGGTTTTTGGAGGGATTATTATTAGGCGTGTGGAGTAAGGAAACTTGCCCAAGGTTTCGCCCTGCCTGGAATTGAACTTAGGTCTCTCGCTTGCAAAGCGAGTGCTCTAACCACTGAGCTACAGGATTCCGGGGACCTTCCCTGCCCTCCACCCCTCCTGATCCCAAACCTCAGCTCAGATCCAAATCCATGACTGTACAGCACTTTGGGACATCCTCCCGACTTGAAAGACCAAATACAAATGTAATTTGTTGTTGTTGTTTATCATGAACAATGTGTGGACTAAATGATTTTATGCCAAAAAAGTAGTCAAAGATCAGCTTACACACTATAAAGTTGGAATGCTGACACAGCATTTCAAAATTATTTTTAATGTGGTCAATATGTCTGAGGCTAATTTGAGGACATATTTTCCAGGGAATTGTTCATTGATTATTATTATTGACAAGTAATTGGAACACATCACCACCAGATTAAGAATAATAATAATCCTTACATTGTGTGGACATCCCAAAGTGCTTCACAGGATATACTTAAAATGGTGTGACTGTGTTTTGAGGGTGATTGCAGCAGCCAGTTTTATGCACAGTAATGTCTCACAAACTGCCATGGAATAAATGACCAATTTTATTTGGAGGATTGTTGTTAGGACAGTAGGAGAAAAACCCTTCTTTTTTCGGAATCCTGTAGCTGAGTGGTTAGAGCACTCACCTCGCAAGTGAGAGACCTGGGTTTGATTACCAGCAGGGCGAAATGTTCGGTAAGTTTCTTTACTCCACACGCCTCTGTTTACCTAGCAGTAAGTAGGAACCCAGGTGTTAATCGATTGGCGGATTGCTTTTCCGGGGATAATAATCCCTCAAGNAAAAAATAATAATTTGGTCACTCATTCCATGACTGTCTGTGGGACACTGCTGTGTGCAATCATCTGCTGCGTTTCGCCCACATGTATATGGTCAATTCACTTTATATTCTGTGAAGCGCTTTGAGACATCTAGAAGACATGAAAAGCGCTATATCAAATGCAAGGATTATTAAATAATAAGAAGAATCTTTAACTTCCACCATCCCCGATCACAACATCAAACTGTCTTTTTAAATGATTCAGATCCACTTGTATTTTAATGACTAGGGGATGGGACCTTAGTATTATACAATACAACAATGCATTTGTAAAGTGTCTTTCAAGTCTGGAGGACGTCCCATGGCGCTGAACAGTCAGGGATTAGGACCCGAGCTGGGGTGGGGGTTGGGATCAGGCCAGAGGATGGCCGAAGGCTCAGTTGAAGAGGAGGATCTTGAGGCGTGCTTTGAAGGAGGCAAGGGAAGGAGCAAGGTGAATGGAATGTGAGTGGAGTTCCAGAGGGTGGGGGCGGAGAGGCTGAAGGCCCGATTGCTGATGGTGGAGTAAGCCAGGTGGGACACATGGAGCAGGCCGGAGTGTGCTGAGCGGAAGGAGCGGACAAGTTGATAGGGGGTTAGCAACTCGAACAAGACGCCTAAGTTCCTGACTGGCTTGGTGAGATGGATGGCATGTGCATCCTTGGATGCTGATGCTTGCCACTCCCTGAGGTGTGGAGGCACTGATGGGAGCAAATCAGGAGAGCCTCGGTCTTGCTGACATTCAACTCTAGAAAGTTGGCTCTCATCCAGGACTTGATGACTGATGGGCAGTCTGTCAGGGCATCAGTGGTCTTGGGGTCGAGGGTGGAGGTTAAGATATAGAGTTGGGTATCATCCATATGACCCCATTATGCTTATTATGCTATACCTGCTGTACAAAGTGGATTGGCTGTGTACTTGTAGGCAAAATACGGCGGCCAATTGTGTACAGCATAGTCATGGATTCAGTGACTCATTTTCTTTTTTAAGCAGAAAGCAATCTTCCAATCGACAAACAACCAGGTTCCGACTTACTGCTGCGAGGCGAGTGAAATAAGAAAATTTGCATAAGATTTTGCCTCACCCAGGAATCAAACTCTCTCTTGCGAGGCGAGTGCTCTAACCACTCTGAGATGTCCATCAGACCAGAAATGGTTTATGAACTATTAAAAGTTGTATTTGGATCCAGCTATAAATACCATTCCACTTGTTAGCAAGTCGAAAACGAGGAGCATAGATAGGGGCAAGTCAAAAAGAAGGAACTTCTTCATGCAGAGGGTAGTGAAAATGTGAAACTCACAACTGGAAGCTGTGGTTGCAGCAAAAAGCACAAACACATTTAACAGGAAACTTGATGCAAACCCTAAATTGACTTTCTGAAAAATCTAATATCAGGTATCTATGTAGTTTGTGGTCAACAATGCAATTTCATAAAAAATTCTAATTAAAAATTTCCCCCCACATACACATGTTCACAAAAGAGGTTCAGATGAAGAAAGTCCTCTGACCCATTTAATCTCAACCTTCCGACCACCCACCCAGGGGAGGTTACATTAAATTAAATGTCATGTGGTTTCATTTAAGGAAAGAGGTGGGGTGTCGGGGTGGGGGTGTGCCGTAAACATTTTATTTTTTTGATCTGCTACTTGTATTAATACCAATCATGGAGAGTAGTTCATCCTGCTAAAAAAAGAAATGGTTTTAATGAATAAATTGAACTAGATGGAATTGATACTAAATTACTAGGATATCGTTTCTCCATTACCAAAATCTAGTGTCACTCAGGCAGCAGCTCTGCATCCATTAAATGGCCATGAACTTAACATCCAACTCTCACACATACACTCAGACAAAACAAAGGCACCCTCCCTCAGTAACTACACTGGAGTATCAGCTGAGACTACAACCTCAAAATCCCTTCATGGAGCTTGAATCCACAACCTTCTGACTCAGAGGCAGGAGTGCTACTTGCTGAGCGTGAGGCTGACACCTAATAAAACCCAACAGTATTTTATTTCTAAATCAGCCTTTTCCTCCCAACACTAACTCATAACTGTCCACAGAAGCCAGAGCCGGGAAATACATAAGAACATTTTGATTTAAATGGACACTTTGGGAGAATTTCCTGAATCTGTACTAGTCAACAGAAATGTTCCCATATTTCCAGGCTTTAACAAGATTACTTTGTTCTGTCAATAGGGACATGGAATTTTAACAACCTTACAGTTCAGATTAGATCTTCTTTGATCATTTTAAAGTTGATTACTGGATTCCATGCTAATTTTAGTTATGAATGACGCTTTGCCCAATCCGCTATCTGGAATTGTCTGTGATCAGAGCACTGTTCAATAGTATATCATACGAAGCACTTTGAGACGTTTTGAAGACGTGATAAGGCACTATATCAAATGCAGGGATTATTATTATTCACAAAGGTAAGTTTTTCCGTAAATAGGAGTGAGCATTGAAGGGCACTGGCGCCAATACTGAACACACACGGGAGCTGTCACTAAAACTTGTTACAGCTGGGAACAAATCCCCAAATTCACAAAGACAAAAGCTATCTGGGCAACACAAGGGAATCAAAGAGAAAGGACTCGAAAACGTACCCTTAGGTACACCATGACAAAGAGAGCACAGAACAATAAAGATTTCACTACTCACATAACTTGAACCTTGCAGGCAGACAGCAGGACTTTTGAGTGTTTGCAAGACCGTTTGCATTGCTGTTTCACTTTACACTAACCCACCCACTTCCTTTTTACAGTTTAAAAAAAGAACGATTGCAAAAGCAAGCACACAGCAGCCTAGAAAATTTGAGAAAGTGAAAAACCAGTCCTCAGAAGCTGTCCTTTCCCAAGAAATACCAGCAATATCAGCTCAAAGGAATCAGGAAAACAGAAGAGCTAATATCCTCCAGATAGCGGTCTGGCCTTCAGTCAAAAATCGAGTGAGGCAGCCCACCTATGTTATTTTAATGCACCCCAAGCAGCCATTCTTCTACAACTACCACTGTGAGAAGGGGCAGAGTTGCTCATCCCATGCTGATAATCACCATCAATACTGAGAACCAAACCAATAGCACCCTGGAGTCCACACCAACACAATTCCCACCACAGCATCCAAGCAAAGATACTACTAATTTTATATCAGTCTCAAAAAATATTGATCAGGTCTCTTTAATAGGCCAGTTCATCAATGTTAACTACTTGAGCTCCAACCCATATGCCACTGCCATTAAAACACTAAGTTAAAACAAATTTTTTCTAATCTTCAATTGAGCTCAAACTTTGTGAATTGTCTATTTCTGTCTTCTTGACAGACTATTTATAAAAGCTAAAATAAAGGGAAAATGGACCTGCACAACTGGGTGAAAACACAATTCATTGTTGAAGGAAGCAGAGGATCATCTATCTATTCCTTTGGGTTAATCAGTATATGGTGGCCTCAATCCTATTCCGGCAACATCAGGGTGCCCACAATCGCAGTTCTGAACTTTTAGCACAAACCTTCAGCTTTGCATTTCAGCAATTTGACTCTTAAACTTATCCACCCAGATCAAACAGAATTCATTTGAGGGGGCCTCTCCTTTCATAATTCGCAACATCAACTGAATCTGAAGTGAAACTCTCTTTGATGCTAAGAAACCCTTTGATAACCAGAGGGCACTTTATCATATGACTGTCAAATACCAATGGATTTGGTGACAATTTGAGAGGATTTAAGCTCCAAGATATTATCTTATGTGAAGGGCATTATGTATATATATGTATATATACACACAAACTGCTGTGTTTATTGTCTTTTGTATTGCAGTCCTATCCTGCTACCATTGGAGAGATACAAATAGGCCATCAGTCTCCCAGGGGAGCTATACCAAACCTCCACCCCAGTATACACAATACAAGATACATTTAACACAATATTACCTAAACCTTCATTATCAATTTACAGATAGTCAAGATTATCAGCAGTAAACATACAACTCATCCTGTAATGTCACTTGTAATGATATCTCTTGCATGCATAAGTTCAAATGCAGCATTAAAGATCAATTTGAGTTCTTGGCGAACATATTGGCCTGTTAGAAACATGCTTTCCATGACCACACTGTGGGCATTTGCTCTTTTAATCTGAAACAAGTCACAGAATTTGTCTCCAACACTTATATGATTCATGGGTCATAGTAGATGGTTAATTCAGGATGTGTGAATGAAACTTTTATCGTGCTTGTAAAAGGCACTTCACAGTAATTAATGTCACATAACACACATCAGTCTGGCTCAGTGGGGAGCACTATCACTTTTGAAGGGTTGGGTTCAAGTGCCATGCCAGGACTTTGAAGTCATAGTCTAGGCTGATACTCCAATACAATGGTGTGCAGCAATGTTGGAGATGCCATCCTCCACATGAGATAGTGAACTGAGATCCCATCTGTTTGTTAAAGATCCCACGGTTCTACAAAAAGAAAAGGGCGTCCCTCTGAGTGAAACTGACAATCCCTAGGTAACAATCCCCCAGATTAAATTGGTTATTTCACTTTGTGGCTGTTCATGGGACATTACTGAATGCAAATTGACTGTTGTGTTCACCTCCAGAATATAGTCACTTTAAAATGTGCGATGTTTTCTAAGAAGCCCTGCTGACATGAAAGATGCCATATCAATTGGAAACATTATTGTTAACTGTCTTTTGCAGACAAATGCAGCTGCTGTTTTGGGCACAAAACTAAAAATCAGCCAATCTCTCTTCTAATTATGAAATAGTCACAGGAACTTTAACTGAAGAACAGACTCAATTTAATGTCTAAACTGAATGAAACATGAAAAGGCAGTGCTCTCCCAACATTGTACTGAAATGTCAGGATGGATTATCCTGATGTGGGCTTGAACCTGTATCCTTCTAAAACCAGTGGCAAGAATTCTACTGACTGAGTCACCATGTTGGACTGTCAATAACTCATGTCTGACTTAGGATTTTGTAAGATCTCCAGAGAGGATATTTTGGCAGAAATAGCAAAATTATAGTTATATACAATCTTGTCCGAAAATAAATGTTTATTAAATCAGAATGGTAACACTGCCCATCCCTGCCGCTTCCCCCAGGCCGCTAACCCTAATGAGCCTTTATCACATCCAGACTGAACTAAATCAACATTCTGTTCACCAGTCTCCCCAGTTCTTCCCTACACAAGCTGCGGGATATCCAGAACTCTGGATAGTCCAGCCCATGTCCTCTCCCACACCAGGGCTCCACGAGCCTATCACCCCCATTATTGCCAAGCTTCATTGGCTCCCCATCCCCCAGCGGATCAAGTTCAAGATCCTCGTTCTTTAGCTTTAAATCTCTCCATGGTCTCGCCCAACCTTACCTCTGCAACCTCCTTGAACCCTACCGACCCCACTGCTCCCTTCCTCAGTGGTCACTGGCTTGCTTCATATACCTCGTCTTATCTTCCCCACCATCAACAAGCGGGCTTTCAGCTATTCTGTCTCTGAACAGTAGAACCAGAGGACACAGCCTGCGATGGAACAACAACAAGATTACATTTGTATAGAGCCTTTCACATCGGGAGGACGTCCCAAGGCGCTGGACGGTGTACAGCATTTCAGACCTGAGCTACAGCCTCAGATACCAGCCTACCTCAAGACTGAGAAACAAGACTGTGCAAAACAGCCTGCGAAGGTGTGGGCTATCTCTGTGACAAGGGGAGGTGGAGTTAGAAACACATAAAAGATGTAACTTTGAAATATTTGGTTGTGTAGAGGGTCAGCACACTTCCCAGGGGAATCAATATCAATTCTACTGTATCTACATATATGTATAGGGGGTGAGGGAATTTATCTCCAGTAAGAAAGTGACCATTAAAAGTGAAAGAGGAGTGGCTGGCAGCACACGTGAGGTGCTGGGCTAAGAACTAATTGTTTCTGTTGAGTTACAGGATCCACTTTCTGTGACTCTGTATTATAGTTCTGTGATCTCTCCAGTGTATGTCAAGGTGTGAGTCAGTTGTCTCTGAAGGGTAATTCCAGTGGCTGATCTCTTGGAGGCTCGTCAAAGTGTAGTCTCAGGTACTGTTTGTCTGGAGTACGAAGTGACGCCCAGACAGAGAATTCCAGATTTCTACCACCCTTTGAGTGAAAAAATGCTTCCTGATTTCACTCTTAAATGGCCTGGTTCTAATTTTAAGACTATGCCCCTTGTTTTGGACTCCCCCACCAGAGGAAATAGCTTCTCTCTACTCTATCGAATCCCTTTATCATCTTAAATACCTGAATCAAATCACCCCTCAACCTTCTAAACTCAAGGGAATACAATCCTAAGTTTATGCAGCCTTTCCTCGTAACTTAACCCTTTTAGGTCTGGTAACATTCTGGTGAACCTGCGCTGCACCTCCAGGGCCAATATTTCCTTCCTGAGGTGTGATGCCCAAAACTGAACGCAGTACTCCAGATGGGGTCTGACTAAGGCTCTATTCAGCTGAAGCACCATCTTTCCCCTCTGTATTCCAGACCCCTCGAGATAAAGGCCAACATTCCATTCGCCTTTTTGATTACTTTCTGCAACTGGGAATTAGGTTTTAGAGGTTTGTTGATATGGACACCCAAATCTCTTTGCTCCTCCAGTTCTTAATCTCTCCCCAATAAGAAAATAATCTGCTTTATCTTTTTTCGGTCCATAGTGGATGACCTCACACTTGCCATAGCTTTGCGCACTCACTTAATCTAAGTCAATTTGTAACTTCCTACTCCCATCTACACAATTTATCGAGCCTCCTAACTTCATGTCGTCTGCAAACTTGGATATAAAACTTTCTATTGCTTCATCCAAGTCATTTAAAATGATTCCACCCCCACCAAATTTTTAGCATGATAGCAACAAAAAAAAGAATGGTAGCACGTAACTTCCTACATTATCTACTTTCCAGTGGCACTGTATTAAGCTGATTGAAAAACACAGAAGCTGCAATTACGTCAGTGACTTCCAGTTGGGAAATATCACATTTTCAGCCTCATTATTCTTTGCAAGAAGAATGTTTTCATCATCTCAGCCATACTCACTCCTAATAATAATCCTAACATTTGATATAGTGCCTTTGAAGCCAGGAAGATGCCTCAAAGAGCTTCACAAGATTTCCTGTAAAGTGTAATGACTTTGTATAATGTAGGCAAGCCTGGCTGCCAATGTGCGCACAGCAATGTCTTACAACCATGATAATAATAATCCTTAATAATAATCCTTGCATTTGATATAGCGCTTTTCACGTCGGGAGGACGTCCCAAAGCGCTTCACAGAACACACTGTGATGTGAATGACCAACTTTATTTTTATCTTGTTTTGTCTTGTTGGACAGGTTTTCCTGAAAACCAGAGTGACCAATTTTCACACAGCAATTTCCCACAAACAGCCTTCAAGTGATTCTAAAAATAAATCAGTCACCAACAAGTTCTCAAGAATACTTCACAATTTTGCACCACATCTGTTAATTGAAAATACTTTAAGTTCTCTCCCTGGAAGCCCGAATAACCTCAACAATCTAAGGAACAGGTTTCGGTTCCTGAAAGCTGTACAGAACTGGGGCAAAAATGGTGTTGGGAAACTTCCTCATTTAGTCATAACCAGATCACTGTACAATTTAAAGAACTTGGAACAACTGACTGCTGCAAATTCAGAGTGGGCAACCCCAACCTTTCCCGAAATTAAAACATAGACACTGCACAGCGATTTCATCACAGAGAACAATGTTCCAATCAGGTTTATGCTCCACGTCTATCAGTTAATGGAACATGTTCTAAAGAAATTCACTTCATGATCAACAATCTGCACCAGAACGTATGAGTGAAGCCAGAAATCCACACACTGTGCTCTGGGGCTACTCGCCATAATGTCACCTTCTATTCAGCCTATAGGCTCTTCTTCATGGGAAAGAATGTACATGTCATCTACAGCGTAAAATACTAAGACTTCCCCAGCAGTTCAGCATGGCCACAAATGCAAGATCAGTAGGACAACAATGACCCACGGTTCTAAAACCCTCCCAGGGGTTGGGGGGGTAAGCTGGGTCAAGATGGCTCCAAGGTGCCATGCTTGGCAACAAAGGAATGTTGGAACCATGTTAACTTTCTGAGGCAATCTTGGTTGTCTATTCCTGAGCCAGGCAGGTCTGAAGTACTCCAGGACAATGTTGATGATAGGCCAGCCAACCCGGCTTGTCAGCAGGTCTTGAAGGGGCAGACCCTTCAAGTCTGACAGCAGGGATTCTTCCAACTCGGCTTCTGTTAACCCTGTAAACCAGCTAAAAAAGCAGCAGGAATCTTGCCAGAGATTGCTCTGAATGGCAAGCTATGTGGTTTTTGGTTGGTTAAATTCCAGCAGTACCCCAAAATACTCTGCCCCCGCCCCCCCCCCCACGCCTTTGGAACCTGCAATACGTTACTTATTGTAATACTTTCCAGAATGAGCTCTGCAGGGCGAGACTTCCAAGGAGAGTGCACGTTCCATTCCAGACACAGGGAAATTTCCATGTGTAGATGGCATACATATGCGGAACTCTCCGACTTGGATACTCTTAAGCATGTTGATGGATTTCCGAATGTGTCAGACACCCAGATGACCAAACAACAAAAACTTGAAAAGCTAGATTCCACTGTTTGAGATATTAAGTTCCATTCTCAAATGTTCAGGTCACCGGTCAACTGCTCCGAGACGCTACAAACATGGAGGGTGGTAAATAAATGCAACTTGTTGCTGTTCTGATTGTAGAAAAGCTACCAATGTTAGATCCCTTTACAAAGATGAGCTCAATGCACTATCCCAATTTCACTTACCATTGCAGTGATCCATGTCAGGGGACACCCCAGGAGTGAGCATATACTCTGACATCCATGAAATATCCTCAAAGCTCGACAAATTTTGTGACCAAAACATAGTTGGGAGTCGTAGATTGATGGCGAAAGAGTTACTAATAGGAAGTGAAACTGAGAAAAGCTTCAGCAACACAAAAGATAATAAGATTAATCCTTATGTTTAAGATAGCGCCTCGCAAATCACTTCACAGGATACACTGCAAAGTGAAGTGATCGCGTGGCGTGTATGAAAGCAACACAGCAGCCAATTTGCATGCAGCAATGTCTCACGAACAGCCATAAAGTGAATGATCAATTTTACTTGGAGGATTGTTGGCCAGCACACTGGGAGAAACTCTTCTCTTTTCAAATGGCACCACGTGATCTTTAATGTCCACCTGAACAAGCTGATGGGACCTTGGTTTAACATCTCATCTGAAGTACGGCACCTCACTTCTGACTCAGAGGTAAGCCAGGCTGACAGATAGGACAAACTCTAAAATTATGAATAACGTTTAATGTTGGGTCGGTTAAATTCATTACTTTTTTTTAAAAAAAGGCCACACAATTGAATCAGGGAGTCTTACGTTTCATAAACTTATTTTTCAAAATGTTTTTTTATTTTTCCATAAGTCTGGGAACTTGCAATATTTTCACGTAATATTCTTTTTATTGGCCCACATCCACGCTGAGTACCAAGCATGGAAACAAGTCTGCCTGCCCTACCTTAACATGGTAGTGACTCAGTAACACAGGTATCTGTATCTCCACCAAATGGTCACATGATTGGAGTTCGGCAATTTTCCATGATGAACACGCTTCCAACGACTATTTCCCCGTGCTGTCAGTGCTTTTCACTGTCCTGGGCTCAAAGTTTGCCTGTTAAATAGTGCACTGGGCTGAGAGTAGAAGAACAGATTTACTAGATAATTAGCAAATTGGAGAGTAAAATTTTCACTGACCATAGGTTATACAGGCTACTGGGCATGACTTTCCCTAAGATGGGCGATAATGCATTGCTGACCCTTAATCCTTGTTCTTTTCCAGAGCCCTGCCACCGGCTCCCCATCACTGGCAACCACAGTTATAAAACAAGAGATGATAACCCATGGAGAGAGTAGAATCTCTGGAGGGATCCATGGTAAAGTGTCTGTTGAAGGGAGTGTGGAGCTGATTCACAGCCAGCTCTGTCCTGGGCTCAGATATTGGTTACCTGAACCAGGCAGTTCTGCAGGACTCCATGCCACTGAGAGTTATTTACCTGCCTCACCAATGAGGAAGAAAACACATTATTGGGAGAATTATTCCCAATCCTAATCATAACAAAAGGTGCAAAGGTAGTTTGCCTGATTAAACCTAATTGTACCATTACACCCAAATGGAAACTTGTATTTTTGCTCTCAAGTGTGAGAAATCATGCCTGGCAACAGGCTGGAGGACAGAGAGCAATGAATTGTAGACAGGTTGAGTCAGACTAATAGCCTTGTTAAATGAGAGACAATACATCCCTTGCTGTCAATTCAGATACGATCAGAATCTGTAAATTAGGTTCCAAGTCTGTAGTGCAGGGGTGCCAGAGGCCTGGTGACACCAGGAGCAGAATCCTCTCTCTTTACTTTATTCAGCACTGATCCTCAAAGCCTTCTCATTCTGCAAAGATCATGCTCCTCAAGAACGTGAACCTCTCATCTTCCGACAGCTTTCCAAACTTGTGTTCCGGAACCTGGAATAAAGTGTGGAGAAAATCCCTCAAACAACACTGATACAGCATTGGGAGATGATCCATTAGATATACTGACAACATGCATGCAGAGAGAGAGATTGAGAGAGAGACAAATACACATGGCTGTACCCCTACACTGTGGCACAGTGCTCCCAGTCCTCACCCCTCTGTTCTTTCGGACAGTTGAGTGTCTGACGCTTGTGGAAACCCGTTGTCATGTTAAAGAGAATCCAAATCAGAATGAGTTCCACATACGCAGCAAGTGTGCACTCTGGGGGGACGGATGATAATAATAATAATAATCCTTGCATTTGATATAGCGCTTTTCACGTCGGGAGGATGTCCCAAAGCGCTTCACAGAACACACTGTAAAGTGAATTGACTGTATATTTGTGGGCGAACGCGGCAGCCAATTGCGCACAGCAATGTCCCACAAACAGTCGTAGATTGAAAATGACCAATTTATTATTGTTTTTGGTTTTGGAGGGATTATTATTAGGCTCTGTGTGGAGTAAGGAAACTTGCCCAAGGTTTCGCCCTCTGCCTGGAATTGAACTCAGGTCTCTCACTTGCAAAGCGAGTGCTCTAACCACTGAGCTACAGGACACTGAGGATGGGGGAACATGGAGTAGAAACATAAGAACATAAGAAATAGGAGCAAGAGTAGGCCATTCAGCCCCTCGAGCCTGCCCCGCCATTTAATAAAATCATGGCTGATCTTCTAACCTAATTCTATTTACCTGCCTTAACCCCATATCCCTTAATTTCTTAATTCCTTTAGTTTTTAAAAATCTATCGATCTCAGTTTTGAGCATGTTCAATGACTGACCATCCACAGCCTTCTGGGGTAGAGAATTCCATAAATTCACTACCCTCTGAGTGAAGAAATGTTTTCTCAACTCTGTTTGGAACAGAGAACACACTCTGGATGGTTGGGGGGAGGTTGAGAACACATCCTGAGACAAGCAGAGACCACTGCACCAAAAGGGGGTTCCTCAACCCTTCAGCTTGAGGGCAGCAAACAGAATTTAACAGAAACGTGAATAAAATGTTAAAAAATAAAAAATGTTTTCAGCCAGGAAACTGCTGGAAGAGGTCACAAGTCCTGGTACTTTAAGTGCAATTACTATTAGGCATTAAATAAGGCCACATCCCGAATATTGTCCAGATTACGTACACATCAGAATGGACTGATTTAATGACTCAACAGATTCAACGACTGCCTTTAGTTGTCAGACCATTCTCAATGCAGTTTCTTAAAATTAACAATAATAATAATCCTTGTATTTGATATGTGGCCTTTTCATGTCTTCGAGACATCTTGACCCGAGCTGCTAAAAGTGCTTCACAGAATATATTGCAAAGTGAATTAACTGTATATTTTGTGGGCGAACACATGGAATGTTTGTGCCAATCCTATCCTCACTCATCAATATAAATCCAAGAGGAGTCAGAAGTCAGCAATCCGGAAGCGAAACCCTGGCTATTTATTGCAAGGAGAGTGAAATTAATTGTATCATCGTCTCCACTATGCTGGATCAACCAATATTGCATAGATCAAGTGTATTAACTTGAATAAAGTTTTTTTAAAAAAATAAGCTGCTTTTCTCCTAAACATTTGTAACAGTGGTAGATTTTACACCAGCAACAAGCATTCCCAAGCTGGTGACAAAGGGCAACCCAAAATTTACACTGTGAATGCTCACCACCGCAATGTGATACCCCAGTGCCTCCAGGTGTCGGATCTTCATGGCCAGCTTGTCCTTTGGGTGGGTTGTACCAAGACAAAAGGCAGAGATGGGAGCACAAAGCACAGCCACTCTGCAAAATAAATCATGGTCATTATTACAAAGACAGAATGATCCCCTGGCACTAGGTCCAAGCTAAAGTAAATTAGTTTCCCCACAATTTATTTGTTGTTGGCAAAATTACCACCAAAAGAGAGACAGACAGGAACATGTGAAAGTTTGGATTGTAATGGTATTTGGCCTAAGTCCCCCTGGCTTGGTGGGGGGAGTCAGCCACTGTTCCCACTCTATCTGGAGAATGCAAATACACGGACATCAGATGAAGACAGACTGAGCTCACTTGTCTAGTAATTGAACGAACCTGCCAACATACTCAGGGTGCCATTACCGGCTGAAGTATCGGAGGTCACCTGTAGACTATGCCTCAGCATAAGTCAGAATCTTCAGCACAGAAGGGAAGCAAATAGTCTGCTAAAAGCGGGTTGTGTTGGATACTCCTTTAAGAGTAAATTGACAATTACCAAAAAGGGCCAATAAGAAGAAGGGCAAAAAGTACAAAAAGGACACGAGGAGTGGGACAAAATATAATAATAATAATAATCCTTGCATTTGATATAGCACTTTTCACGTCGGGAGGACGTCCCAAAGCGCTTCACAGAACACACTGTAAAGTGAATTGACTGTATTTTTTGTGGGCGAACGCGGCAGCCAATTGCGCACAGCAATGTCCCACAAACAGTCGCAGATTGAAAATTACCAATTTATTATTGTTTTTGGTTTTGGAGGGATTATTATTAGGCGTGTGGAGTAAGGAAACTTGCCCAAGGTTTCGCCCTGCCGGGAATTGAACTCAGGTCTCTCGCTTGCAAAGCGAGTGCTCTAACCACTGAGCTACAGGACTCCAAAATGTGGTTGAGTGGTGGATTTATGAGTGTTTTGATTGACAAATAAAGAAACTTCCTCACACACCATTGGATTGAGTTGTTACAGGTTGAACTCCATGGAACTTATCTTCCTGCCTACCCACATAATTTTCTTTTAGACTCATTTCATCAACCTCAACAGGTCACTGTCAACTGATGCTCAAGTAATAAGAGGTGCCTGGGATGTTAAGAACAGCCATTAAGGAAATTGATGAACAGACTCAGAATAAGGTTCAGAGCTGCAGTCACCTTACCTCCGTACATCATGCCGGATATCCTCGTTCTGAGGCAGAGAGATCACATTCTTTCTTTCCTGGTCCAAAGTGATTTCAAAATCTTAAAGAGGACAGAAATAGAGGTCGTGAAAGCAACCTTGGGCGAGGTGCTGAGATGATATGCCAAATGGCTCACATCATGAAATAAAAACCGAAAACTGGACTTTCGTTTCAAATTCAAACTAACAATAAATGCTTTCATTTATCTGCTTCCAATTATGTAAATGAGGAAGTGAATGTCCTACTGATCCCGCTCCAGAGTTTCCGCATGCGTTTTAACGATGTTGTGCATTGGTAGACAATATTAATCCTTGCATTTGATATAGCGCCTTAACGCATCTTCAAGACATCTTAAAGCGCCTTCACAGAATATACTGTAAAGTGAATGACTGTACATTTTGTGAGCGAAATGCGACAGCCAATTGCGCACAACAGTGTCCTACAAACAGTCATAGATTGAAGTGACTAATTTATTATTATTATTTTCTTGAAGGAATTATTACCCCCAGAAAAATGATCCTCAAATCAACTAACAAACTGGTTCTTACATGCTGCTAGGTAAATAGAGGCGTGCGGAGTAAGACAACTTGCCCAACATTTTGCGCTGCCAGGAATCAAACCCAGGTCTCTCGCTTGCAAGGCAAGTGCTTTGGATGAGGGGGTAAGTAACAAAGCATTTCCTGACTATTCATTAACTCGTGTTGAGTAAATCACCAGACTGGATAGGCTGAAAGGTCAGTTTCTGAGATGTACTTCCTATGAGTCAAATAAACCATGAAACTTTCAAGCTCAGTTCTTGATTTGGTCAGAGTTAGCTGACTTCACCCAGTGCAGTCATGGGCGGCATTAAAATAGGTCTATGAAGTGCATGGGGAAGAAGGGGGTGGGGAAACCCTCCAAGGATCTGAGTGCTTGATCAACATCTCGTGATCCAGAAATGTAAAGTATGTGGAATCGTGGGTAAATAGCATCTGAATTGGCCCTGGTGTTCCTCCTGCCCACATTGCCCAGACTCACACATGAAGAACAGATGCATCTTAGGAAACAGTCAGAGCTTGCAGTACCCGGGCCAAGTCAACCCTCTCAGCAGAGGAAAGGAGAACAGTTTCAGGGAATGAGAAACGCTCATTGAGGAAGTCAACTCTCCCCAAGTGAGTTTGTCACGTCCGCTTGTGAAATGATTCAGCCATACATGATTAATGTTACATACATCCTCTGCCTCTCCCTTCATGGAAAAAAATAGCAACAAAAACTCACCATGTGGAGACTGCAGAATTAAGCCAATAGCCCGCCACTACACTGCTCAGAGCGATGGTTGTCATGTACTTGACAAAAAATGCATATTTTCACAAGTAAATCTTTTTTATATACAAGTGAAATACCTATAAAATACTCATTTTTCAAAACCAACCCCTGCTGGTAAAGGCTGCTGTCTCCCAGGATACCATACACTGCCCTCTGGACCTCTGAGTTCACACAAACTTTACGGTCTGAGGGTTTCTCAAGACTAGAGTCAGCCAGCCTGGGATGAGAAGGATGGTCCAACTCCAGACAGAGATTGATGTGTTGAAGTAACTGTGTGTTCCTCTCTCGGTATGGATTGGCTGTCATGAGGAAGGAAAAAAAACAGCAAAATTAGAGCACATTTAAAACTGGAAAGACACACCTTGTTCTCCAACTTACAACTTAGCTCCTTATCACGTTATCAAACACTTCACAGGCTTTGGGTCCACGACCCTTCACACGACCTTCATCGGACCGAATCTGGTGAAGGGTCATGGACCCGAAACGTTGACTCACTTTCCTTTCTCCATAGATGCTGCCTAACCTGCTGAGTTTTCCCAGCTCTCTCCATTTTTGCTTCAGATTCCAGCATCTGCAGTATTTTGTGTTTTACTTCACAGGATTTAACTGGAAACTATAGTGACTGTATATTTTGTAGGTGAAAACAGCAACCAATGCAAAGCAATGTCCTAAAAAAAAGCCGTGAAGTGAATGACCAACTTTACCTAAAAGATTGTTGGCCAAAATACTGGGAGAAACTCCCTTGTCTTTTCAAGTAGTGCCATGGGATCTTTAACATCCATCCGCAAAGGCAAGTAGGACCTTGGTTCAACATCTCATCCAAAGGATGACACCTTGGGCAATACAGCACTGCCCTGCCCTGGACCAAACTCAAAATCTTAACATGTTACTAACCAAGCCACTTGTTGTGTAAATGCTACAGAACAATTCAAAGTGACAACAACTGACCTGTGGAGTGGAGCTCACTTAGGACATCCTCTTCAAAAAGTTTCCTCAGAGCAGCCTTAGGAACATTTCCCATCAGACACAAGTGGTGGACTCCACGGAGGAGATCCAGTGGAGTAAGCCTTGGCAAGTAGGACTCGAACATGCCAGTTAGAATGTCCAAGAATCTAGGACAGAGAGAAAAATACTGCAACTTTTACCAATTTAATTATTTATAACAGTTATCCAACAGTAGTCAATGACGATTTACTCAGATCAAATAATGCCCATAAAAACTGAAAGTTTCTTCCACTCACCTGGAGAAAAGTAGCTAACTGGCACCCACCACTTTACATTTGCCCCCTTATTTCATTCCTCCATACTGTATACCTTAGCCAATTTAAGGATAAGAGGGAATATTCCATAGCGTAGTGGTTAGCATGCTTGCCTTGCAAGCAAGGGAACCAGGCTGGGCAAAACCTTAGGCAAATTTCCTTACTCCACACACCTCTGTTTACCTAGCAGTAAGTAGGAACCCGCTTGTTAGTCGACTGGCGGATCACTTTCCGGGGGTAATAATTCGATCACTCAATTCACAACTGTTTGTTGTGCTGTGCGCAACTGACTGCCAAGTTTCGCTCACAAAATATAGTTAATTCACTTTACAGTATATCCTTGAAGTGTTTTGAGACATCTCAACGACGTGATAAGGCAAATGCAAGGATTATTATTATAATAAGACAGGTTGCTTGACTGTTGGGTGCTGAACAAAACCAGTCTAAGGTGACTGCCCTACACCCTGCACGTTCGGTCACTTTCCTCTTCCCCACCCCGCTCAGTTCCCACCCCCAGCTTGGGTGCCAAGTCAGGACTATTTAATGCCTTGGGATGTCCTCCTGGCATGAAAGACCTACATAAATGTAAATTTATTTTGTTTTACGTAAATCTAATTTATGTTGTCTCACAAAGGGTCTATCCACCAAGACAGTGCGCAGATCGTGAACTAATCATTGTTAAATGAGGGAAAGTGTCTTTGAGAAGTCAGAACTAATTACTGTTCGTGAATCGGAGATGACTTTAAATGATTCGCCAGGATAAATGAGGTTGCAATGGACAGAATCAAATTGTGTACCCACAAGCAAATGAACATGGTCAATTTTGCATAAACTTGCTTGTTTCACCAGAGCAAGTTCTCTTACCAAAGCTACTAATAAAACATTTACCACAGTGTTTTAACAGGAAGGGAGAGAGAGGAAGTCAACCATGGAAGTAGCAGTTACCATGTTGAAAAAAAACTGAAGCTCAGTTTTTGCAATTTCCCCACAGCACTAGTCCCTCCTTAAACTCAAGAAACCACACAACAGCTTGGGCCAAGGCCTCTCATAGTGTTCTGAGAACCCCAGGTTGAGGAGTAAGGCTGTAGAGCCACATATTAACAATGGTTTCTAGGAGAGAATCTGAGAATGCTGTGTAGTGGCAGGATTGGACCCAGAACAAGGGATAAGGGGGAGGTGACCATAGGTACAGTCAAAGAAGTCTTCAGGTGGGATTCAAAGATAGACAGAGGGGGCAAGGTAGAGGTATTTTGACTCCACGCAGCTCAATGTGCTGCAGTGAGTCAGCAAGTCCCTCTTAAGCTGAGGGGAAAGCAAACGGGTCTCTTTACCAACCTCCGGCTCCTACCGCTGCCATGAGAGGGCGGTTCGCCGTGGAGAGGGAGCGGGCGACCTGAAGTTGGAAATGGTCCTCGGGCCAGACGAAAACATTCCCCGGGCCAGAAGCGGCCTGCAGGCCACCAGTTGGACCACCCTGGCCTAGTCTTATGTTCCCTTCTTCCCTGTAGGGTGGGTACCAGCTTGTGCTCAGCAGCTTTGTAGGGAAGGTACTAACCTGTGCTCAGCTTCTTCCTGTAGGAAAAGCAGCAGCTAAAACACCATCTTCCTGCCCCACCATTCAGTGCACCTCATGAATCAAACGTGCTGCGGCTCCCAGTGAAGGGGCACTTTGCATAAAGTGAGTGGACTATTTAAATGTATTGCTTGTAGATAAAGAACCAACTGTGCTTGGCACCAAGACTTACTGTTCTCTGTGTCTCTTGGGCTGATGGTTGACCTGGGAATACGCGCGCAGTGTATACAGCACATCTTTCAGGGTCAGTGATTCTGAGACTGGCAGCACCTTCTCTATGTATGCGTCCATCAGCTCCACATGGCGATATCCCAGATCCCCAAACAGCAATAGGAACGTAATCAGCTAAAACAGAAAAGAAAATGCTATGAGAAGGGAGGACGAAGAAGCCCCTTTGAACCATTTAGTAGTGATAATAATAGTAATCCTTGTATTTGATATCGTCCCACATCACGTCATTCAGACATCTCAAAACGTTTTCACAGAATATATTGTAAAGTGGAATGACTGTGTATTTTTGTGGGTGAAACGCAGCACCCAATTACAAATAGTAGAGTCCCACAAGGGTTTGGATTTATTGTTGGAGAAATTATTAATAATTCTTATTATTACTAAATAATATTAGTCAATTACTACTGCTACTAATTCCTATATTTGGTATAGCGCCTTTCACGACAGACGTTTCAAAGCGCTTCACAGGATTCACTGTATTCTGTGGCCAACCCCAGCAGCCAATTTATGCACAGCAATGTCCAACAAACTGCCATGAAAACTTTTTCTTATTTTGAGGGATTGCTGGCCAGCACACTGGGAGAAGCTCTCTTCTCCTTTCAAATCATGCCATGGGATCTTTAATGTATACCCGAACAGGCAGATTTGACCTCGGCTTAACTTCTCATACGAAGAACAGCACCTCCAGAGGAATGTCAGCCTGGACTATATGATTTTCAGGTGTTGACATGAGTATTCTACCCACAAGGCGAGAGTGCAACCAGCTGAGCCAGCTTGACACGTACTAATAATAATCCTTGCATATGATATAGTTTTCACGTCTTCTAAATGTCTCAAAGCACTTCATAGAATATATTGTAAAGTGAATTGACTGCATATTATGTGAGCGAAACGCGGCAGCCAATTTTGCACAGCAGTGTCCCACAAACAGCAATGTTTGTCAAGCTGGAAATTTACCTGTTTAAGTTGCCAGATGTCCAAGTTGGAAGCCAGGTGATCCCCTATGGCCTGAAGTAGAGATGGATCCCGGTACTGAAGATCCTTACAGGACTGCAAAATGTGAACCAAACGCCAATACGGGATACAGTGGATGTTCTCTGGAACACAATCACATTGTATGGACATTGTGTCACTGACTGTGGTTTTCTAGGTGGCCGGAGGGGGATAGGGGACCAGATGGGCCAGGCGAGGTGGGTGATGGGTTTGCAGTACCCATTGAAGGAGAGGTAATGGGCTGCAGAGTTCTATATGATCTAGAATTTGTAGCAGATGAAACTTGCTAGACTGGCAATCAGAGCATTCTAAAAGTGAAGTTTAGAGCTTATAACAACAACGACGTGCTTCATGCAAGGAAGTGTCTCAGAGCGCTTAACAGTGGTGGAGCCCGACTCCTAGTCCGGGGGAGGTGGCCGTAAGCACTGTTGGAGAGGAAAGTTTTCAGATGGGATTTGAAAGAGGGGAGAGGGAGAGTGTTCCAGAGTTTTAGGGCATAGCAGCTGAAAGTGCGACCTCCAATGATGGGGCGGAGGGTGCGAGGGTCGAGCAGGAGGCCAGTGTCAGCCGAGCAGAGGCGCCGGGTGGTGGATTGGGAAGAAGGGAGATCGGAGAGGTAGGGAGGTGCCAGGGAGTGAATGGATTTGAACACAAGTGTGAGGATCTTGAAGTCGATCCGTTCGGTGATAGGGAGCCAGAGGAGCATGGTCAGAACTGGTGAGATGTTGGTACGGAGTTTGGTTCAGGTAGCAGAGCTTTGAATGAGCTGGATCTTTTGAATGTTGGAGCTGGGGAGACTAGCGAAGAGTGTATTGGAGTAATCCAAGCAGTAGGTGACAAACGCATGCACGGGGGTTTCAGTTGCATTTGGGATAAGGTACAGTCGGAGTTGGGCAATGTGGAGGAGGTGCAAGAAGACGGTCTTGGTCAGGGTCCAGATGTGGGGGAGGAAAGGCAGCTGGTGGTCGAACCGAGCCTAGGTTGCGCACTGGTTCAGTGAGTCTGAGGGAGAGCCCAGGGAGGTTGAAGAATTTAGATCCACAGGAGTGATGACATTGACGGGAGTCAAGGAGTATGGCTTGCGTCATGTCCGTATTCAGCTGCAGGAAGTTTGCACTCCTCCAGGCCCCAATGTCTGCCAGACAAGCTGATAGAACATTGGCGGACCTGGAGTTGGTACTGGAGGAGGCAAAGTAGATTTGTGTGTCATCTGCACACATGTGGAAGTTTACCCCGTATTTGTGGATGACATCGCCTAGAAGGAGCATATAGATAAGGAAAAGAAGAGAGCTGGGATGGTAGTGTGAGAGATTAGAGAGGTCGAGGGTGGTCTTTTCGAGGAGGGGTGTGATGACAGCAGTTTTCAAGGGGAGTGGAACACAGCCTGAGAAGAGAGACTGGTTGAACGTGTTGGCCAGCAGGGAAGAGAGAAGGGGAAGCTGAGTGGCCAGCAACTGGGTGGGGAGGGGGTCAAGGTAGCAGGTGGTGAACTTCATCCGAGTGAATGTGGTTGAGAGGGAGAAATGGGGGCAAAGGAGTGTAAGGGGTGGGGGGGGGGGAGTGGCAGGAGCCATGGCGGAGGGAGAAGGTGGTGTAGATGGTCTGGATGGGGTGGAAGGAAACATGGGGGGGTTGGACAATGCAGCCAAGCATGTGTCAATGGTCACATTTAAATTTTTGCGGCGAAGAAGTTTAGGAACTCTTTGCACTTGGAGTTTGATGTGAAGGCATAGATGAGGGTTTCAGCTGGATTGAGGGTAAGACAGCAGCAAGGCTGGGTAAAGGGAAGATTGAGGAAAATGGACTTGGTCACACAGATAATAATAATAATCCTTGCATTTGATATAGCCCTTTTCACATCTTCTAGACGTCCCAAAGTGCTTCACAGAATATACTGTAAAGTGAATTGACTGTATATTTGTGGGCGAACGCGGCAGCCAATTGCGCACAGCAATGTCCCACAAACAGTGATGGATTGAAAATGACCAATTTATTATTGGTTTTTTTTGGAGGGATTATTATTAGGCTCTGTGTGGAGTAAGGAAACTTGCCCAAGGTTTCGCCCTCTGCCTGGAATTGAACTCAGGTCTCTCACTTGCAAAGGAGTGCTCTAACTACTGAGCTACAGGACTCCACATTCGCACTTCTGTACATAGACATAGTCATTCCTTGACTTCCTGTAGTTTAGTGTTCCTGGACATAGATAGACAGTGTGACTTGCTGATGGCAATGTGTGATTACTCATCACCAGACACTATTGAGAAAAGGACAGGAGAAAATCAGAAGAGAGAAAAAGTGACTTTGGAATCACTAACTGAAGGATTCCCAAGAGGGATAATGACAGCTGGGAAGCGAGTTACTCACCCACAACCTTGTTGGTGCAAGCCTTTAGGAGCAAGTGTGAGCGATGGCCCATGGCAGCAAGTGTGCCGAACATGTGCTGGGCATTTGGAAGAGTAAACTCACTCACCAAAGAGAGAGCTTTCCTCTGCCAAACAAAAAAATGAGAACGTGTAAATGATAAATAATAAAATTACATATTACAATAATAATAATCCTTGCATTTGATATAGCACCTTATCATGTCTTCGAGACATCTCAAAGCACTTCACAGAATATACAGTAAAGTAAATTGCCTCTATATTTTGTGGGCGAAACGCGGCAGCCAATTGTACGCAGCGGTGTCCCACAAACAATCGTGTGACCAATGTTTTTTAAAAAAGGAATTATTACCCCCGGAAAAGCGATCCGGCAATCGACTAACGACTGGATTTCTACTTACTGCTAGATAAACAGAGCCGTGTCGAGTAAGGAAACTTGTCCAACATTTCACCCAGCCGGAAATCGAACCAAGGTCTCTCGCTTGCGAGGCGTGCTCTAACCACTGATCTATAGGACTCCATATTATTATTATTACAGTTCCATTATTTCCTACCTCAAGCTTCTTCTTTAGAGGCAGAGGAGCATCTTTTCCAACACAACGCATAGTGGTCTGTAAGGCGATTACTGTCTTGATCTCTGGGACCCGCTGCTCCATCAGCAGCCTGCCAACACATAACAATCACAATCGTTCTTATGCAGGGATACCACGATAGACTATAGAGATAACCCAATCCTCACTCTGTGCCACTACTGCAGGTGGGGGGGAGGTAGTGTTAACTCAATTTGCAGCTAGTAAATTCTCGTGCCACCAGTTTACCTCAAGCCCCCTCGTAATGCCTCCACGTTCTTGCAACTTTCCATCTGCTGCAGACAGTTGGCCAGCACGGACAGAGCCCTCTCATCAAACTCATTCAGACGCTCCTGTAAGGCAAAGACATTCCAGGCAGCCAATTATACCACGAGACAGTGGAAAGGGCCATCTATAACTACACAACAGAAGGTGGAGATTCAATGGTCACATTTCATACAAGACCAAACCTCGAGGCACAATACGTTCTGGAGGTTTGAACCTACAACCTTCTGACTCAAAGGCGAGAGTACAACCAGCTGACACACTTCTATTCTTTTGTTGTAACCAGGACCAGGAGACAGAGCTACCAAAGCTTTACCAAATTAAAGTGTGGAGCTTTATTTACCTGGGTAACTCTGAGCAGCGTCTGGACCAGCCGGCTACGCTGTGACACTCCTATCTTTACCAAGGCCAGGAGACTGTATGACAAATCGATAAACTTCATGAAACGAGCTTCTCGCATCGCCTCCTGGCACATCTTCTCAAAGACCGGGTGCTCGAACATCAGCCGCCGCTCATAGTGCTTCTGATCCTCCGACATCTTCTTAGTTGTTTCCCACATGGTGGTCAGAGAGTTGCTGATCATTTTCCAGGTCAGTGTGCTTTCCGAGACCAAATCCAGCACATCACTGGGGGAGTTGCACTTGCTTAGCTGCTCAAAGAACATCTCCTGAGATGACCTCTTGGTTGGTGACACGTTGTCCCACTCAGCATTAAAATTCTCAACAGGCAGCTCTAACTGGTGGGATCTCCCAGTTTCAACTGACTGACTGAAGTGAGGCGCCAATAATACGCTGAGATCCTCATTTCTTCCTGTATGGGTATTCCAGTCTTCTGCCTGATTCTCCACAGCTGCCTTTGGTCTCCGTCTCTGGATCTTTCCGGAGTACAAACGGATTGATACTAAACACATGCGTCTTTCTGGCCAAGTATTTAATAAACTGCTTGAGAGACAATACTGAGGACCATTCCTCTTCTTTAGTGATGTTAATATATATATACAGGTTGCTGACCTGCAGCTCTTAACAGTATGCCCTGTCCATCTCCGCAAGGGATGGGTGCTCAGACACAGCCTCAAGTTCTTAATAAGATGATTCCCAACTGAATTGATAATCATAATGAGATGAGAACAGGCAGTGTGCAGACAGCTTGAATCAGCTTTGCATCAGTTCAGTGCAGCTCAGAAGTCATTATATTACTCTGCAGGACAAAAAGAGAAAACACACTGTAACCACCTAAATCCCAACATAATTCTGAACCAATGCATAATTACTGAGGCTCTCAAACCTTCAACTGTTCTCCTCCAGTCAAGTTTTTTTTGAAGTTTTATAAGGGTTAGTCAGGAACAAAGATAATACAATTTTGGATGCTGACAAATAAAGAAACTCTGCCCCCTTTGGAAGTGAGTGGTGTAGCAGGTGACCACACAGCCCTTGCCACACCTCAAAGTGCATCCGAACTCAGCTCAAGCTGACAAGATGCAAGTCTCCTCTCTGCCTACTGGCGAGCTGAAAAAGGACCAATGCAACATGAGTCTGGGTAGTTTTAACTCAGCTCCGAGTATGCACAAAAACACTTTATTTGCACAGGTCAGCTACTGAGTGAAATGGAAGATATAATGCTAGTGCAGGATGTGGGAGGTGCTTTTCTGAGGTTGAGAAAAGTAGTTTCGTTCCTCACCTAATGCCTAATTTATGTTATATACATTGTCAAATCTTTACAAATGAAGCACAAGTTACATATTCAGAATATTCACACTGCAGCTACCCTGTCAAAACCACATCAGAGTTGATTTAATTAGGGCATCAATTCCCAAACCTGCAGTAGAAATGCAGGTAGTTAACTTTACCCAACCTTTGGTTTAAAATGGTGCCAAATTGTTTTTTTCATCAGCTGTGTGTCTTAACACCCTTCTCTTTTTAGATAGTGCCATGGGATCGTTAGTGCTGCAATGGAGTATCAGCTTAGACTACATGAATCCAAAGTCCTGACAATGCAGCTTGAACCCACAACCTTCTGATTCAGAGGAGACAACAAATTACATTTGTATAGTGCCTTTCACATCAGGAGGACGTCCCAAGGCGCTGGACAGTCAGGATTCTGTACCCAAGCTGGTGGTTGGGATCAGGAGGGTTGGAGGCTGGGGAGTGATAAGAGACCGACTAAGCCAAGCTGACACCTGTGCATGCCATCTACATACAGAACTGTCCCTATGTCTGGAATAGAATGTGCATCGTCTCCCCACGTCCTAGTTACCCAATTATAGAGTATTAAATGCAGATTGGCAAGACTCAAGGCTTGGGGAATCCTAGTGTGTTAAGACTACTGCTGGAGTTCAACCAGCAAATAGCTCGCTATTAAAAGCATTGTCTGGCAAGCTTCCCGCTGCTTTTCAAGCTTTGGCTTTGAGAGCTAACAAGAGATGAATGTGAAGATTCCTTTTTTTCTTAAGTTCACCCATTAGGGAGTGTAGGCTCTGCACTATTTTCTGTATTCGTGGCTCAGAGTCTATGGGGAGAATTTCAGTCTGTAGCTCCGAGTCCTGCTGTTCAACCAGGCTGGCTGGACTCTCCTCAGGGGAGCCCCAGATACTTGCAGATCCGCCTGGTCAGGGGCTGGATGGACTACCAAGATCACCATATAGGATTCACTCAATTGAGACATTCGGTTGGCAAGCGTGTTATATTATACCGAGTTCGGCTCCAAGAGAACATGCTTTCCTTCCACCCACACAGTGTGTTAGTCTGGCTCAGTGGTATGAGGCTTATTGGGCTTTTATTAGGCTTATTATTTTTATTAGGCTTATTGAGATCAAGCGTTAATCACTCGACTAATCACAGGATTCAACACAGACTGCAAACATATGACCAGAGACTGAGGTCGGGTGAAGGTTTTGGAAGATATATTCTAAAAATCTATCAAAACTGTGATATGAGACTATGGAGGAACTCCATCTATGTTACAGAAGACGCTGCACCGAACAGGTCCACAAATCATCATCTGGGATGAAAACCCGGCGGTGAGCGCACACCAATCCTCTGGACGTCTGGAGATGTCTAAATACAGTGAGAACACGTACACTGAACACAATTAAGTACTTCTAAATACAATTATCGCCATTCTTCCACATGTTCCATTTGTTGGGTCAGTGCACTGCGGACCCCACCCCCCACCCCCCGGGACTGCGGACACCTCGTGTGTGAAAGGCGGTGATGACCGCCGCTGCGGCTCATCTCGAGCGGCTTCACAGAGCGGGAGCTCAGAGCTCAGAGGCGGCTGTTAATCAGCCCCTTACCTCCTTTTGCCATTGTTTAGGGTATATGCGCGCGCCCGACATCTCCAGTCCTCGCCGGGAGTCGCCGAGTCTCGCGGTGTGAGGTGAGGAGGCAGAGCCCGTCCACAACTCACCCACTCCCACGGCACCGCCGCCATCTTTATCCCATCCCGGCGCCGCGCGAGGTGACCAGGTTGGGCGGGTTCACGCCCAATTGGGCGAGTTGTTGCTGTCCTGCGCGCGGGGGGGGGGGGCGAGTTTCTAAATTTTAATTTAAACCTGAAAATGTTTTCTTCCCACAGTGTCAAAAGCAACTAAACCGACCACTGTTCTGTCCATCACAGGAGGAGACGCAAAACATTGGGCTACTTTTTGGCCAATTTGGGGGCCTTTGGGCTACAAATGGCTTTGAATTTCTGGCGCAATCTGAGCCCTTCCCACCAAACGTCATATCCGCTCAGATCAGCGCCACTTCCTGTTGGGCCGCGATGGGGGAACGTCCACTGTTTACTCGCAGTGCTGCCAACTCTTCACGTGCTGTACCGCCCACCGCCCACCGCCAGGGTGTACCCCCCTCCCAACCGCCAGGGTGTACCCCCCCCTCCCAACCGCCAGGGTGTACCCCCCTCCCAACCGCCAGGGTGTACCCCCCCCCTCCCAACCGCCAGGGTGTACCCCCCCCCCTCCCAACCGCCAGCGTGTACCCCCCTCCCCCCCACCGCCAGGGTGTACCCCCCCCTCCCAACCGCCAGCGTGTACCCCCCTCCCCCCCACCGCCAGGGTGTACCCCCCTCCCCCCACCGCCAGGGTGTACCCCCCTCCCCCCCACCGCCAGGGTGTACCCCCCACCGCCAGGGTGTACCCCCCCACCGCCAGGGTGTACCCCCTCCCCCCACCGCCAGGGTGTACCCCCCACCGCCAGGGTGTACCCCCCTTCCCCCCACCGCCAGGGTGTACCCCCCTTCCCCCCCACCGCCAGGGTGTGAGTGATGCTGTACCGCCCTCACAGGTTGTGAGTAATGATATCCCCAGTGCCTTCGCCGCCTCCTCCCTTTCCTCCTTCAAGGCCGGTCTCAAGACCTTTCTCTTTGACTGTGCCTTCAGCTCCCCTCTCGACTCTCTACCCCCTCCTCGCTCCCTCCCTTCCCTCCCCTCACCATTTCCCCCCTCCTCGCTCCCTCCCTTCCCTCACCCTGACCATTTCCCCCCTCCTCGCTCCCTCCCTTCCCTCCCCTGACCATTTCCCCCTCCTCGCTCCCTCCCTTCCCTCCCCTCACCATTTCCCCCCTGCTCGGGTCCTGACCCAACTGTAGAGCGCCTTGGGACGTCCTCCTGACGTGAAAGGCGCTCAATAAATGGAATCTTGTTGTTGTAATGCTGCCCCCCCCCCACTTCCACAGGGTGTGAGTGATGCTGAAACCCCCCCCACACACGGGATGTGAGTGATGCTGTACCCCCCCCCCTTCCCACAGGGTGTGAGTGATGCTGAACCCCCCACACACACACACACGGTATGAGTGATGCGGTACTCCTTCCCTCCCCCCCACACTGAGTGTGAGTGACGCTCTACCCCCCCACCCCCGATGTGAGTGCTGCTGTACAGTCACATTTAAAATCAACAAAATGCACTGATGAAAAATGACCATTTTATTGCATATATATATATTAATACGGAATATGAGACACCTTAGAAAAATAGCAACAATTTAGCAAATATAAACTAGTGTTACAGGAGATTGTGTCAATGTTAAAATCAAGGGACTCATACAATATATTTTTGAAAAATAATTATAAATCACTTATACACATATTTTAAGAAATTAATTTTTTAAAAGAAAATACACAATTAGAAAATTTGGTCAAATAATACATATTTCCTGATGGTCCCAGACATGAGTTTCTGCTGTATGGTGCGCATAGTTGTGTTGAACCTCTGCACCTCTTTACTGGTAACAAGCTCATGAACCCTGTTGGAAACTGCCTGAAGAGACACAGAATTTGGCTCAGCTGTACCATCACGGTCAATGGCAACAATATAGCATTCTTCTGGTAGATGAAACCTTGAAATGCTTCACAAATACAGCAACAGATGCCATGCAAGGGAGGAGGGAATGGGGAAGTGACCTGGGTACAGTCAAAGAAAGGTCATTTTAGACAGAATTTAAAGACAGATATAGAGGAAGCAAGATGGAGGGATAGAGGGAAAAAGTTCCAGAGATGAGGGGTGCAATAACTGAAGGCTCAGCCACCAATGGAGGCACAGCGGGTCCGGGGGTTGCATAGCAGATCTAAGTTTGTTTGGTCTCTTCATAGTACTGGAGGGAACACAATGATGTGATGATACTATCATGTCATTTGTCATGCAAAACAAGATGAGAAACAACAGCCTAGTCTACGATTGGATTTTTGACCAAAATCCATTGACTGCACAGTGCAATGCATTCAAAAACTGAACTGTGTATATTGAAACACTCAGTTCGCCACGTATAAATGTAAATAATAATAATCTGCATATCTGCAGGAGATGGCTTGTGTTGACTGGGCAAAGGGAACAACAGTCCCTGTGGTGTGAAGAGATACATTGGAAACAAATTGTCTGGGACAATCACGATCACCCAAACTACATAAATACCATAGTAGCACCATGTTCAAGTACAAACCACACAAAAATGATGAGGTTGCAGAATCCCTCTTGGACAGTGCTTCACATTTAAGGACACATCCACTTTCTACAGGAAACCTTTCCAAAGCCACCAGAGAGGGATACTCAAGCTCGAATTATTTCTTAAAGGAAATGTTATAAAGAGAATTCTTCATCTGCTTCCCTGTGATGGACCCAAACACAATGAAATGGTTTCTCTGCATTATTTTTTAATGATGAAGCTAACAAATGTAAGCCCACATTGTCTTTTGGTCCAGCAATCCAACTTGAGTTCATGCTCTAGGCGTTTGTCTGTCTCGACTTATCTTTTGATTTTATTTTGGTCGACTGGGTGCTGACACATGTGGAAACCCATCACCATGTTTAGAAGTATCCAAACTAAGCTGAGATTTCCATGCATCCCACCGACACATGAAAATCCCAGAGAAAGATCGTTGGAATGCGTACTCTTTCCCTGGAGAGATGCATCCTGCTTACTTAATTCCAGAAAGTATTAGGCACAGGTTGGCAAGAACCAAGGCTCGGGGACCCCAGTGTGCATTGGGGTATTGCTGGAGTCTAACCAGCTAAAACTGTGATTGATATTGCTGTCTAGCAAGCTTTCCTGCTACTTGTCCAGCTAGGACCACACTTCCCGTTAGGGCTTTATCTTACAGGGTTAACAATAGCTGAGTGGGATGACTACCTGCCCTCAATACCTGGTCTGCCCTTCCAGGTCCTGCTATTATGCCAGGTTGGCTGTGCTGTCATCAGCAATACCCTGGAATATTGCACACCCGCCTGACTCAGGATGACCAAGACTGTCACAGAGGTCTGGCTCAATTCTGACATTCCATTGCCAAGCATGTTACGTTGGAGTCAGTTCAGCACCAAGGAGACCCCATTTCTGACAGTGTTTTCGGTCATCTTTCTCCCCACCCCCATCATTTCCCACCCACAGCTCAGGTGCCAAGCCATTATTGTTAAGGCACCTTGGATGTCCTGCCAACACGAAGGGTGCTGTATACATGTAAATTTGTTGAAAGGCCCTTGTGCACAGTAAGCTCCTTTCAGTCCCCGTACTCCCCATCCCCAAAGGCATATTGTGTCTTGGGATCCTATCCTTTCGAGATGAAACTCAGTTCGGTTTAAATTCTTCATGTGGAAGCTGTTTTTCTTATAGAGAATTGGCTTCTAAATTAGGACTTATTTGAATTTTTCATCATTCGGCAGGATCGTAAAAACAAAGTGCTAAAGCTAGGTGAAATTTGTGGGCTGTAATTTCTGGATTAAGTTCCTATTTACACTGCCAATCTTTTCCATTGTTTTATCTGCTCCTCACCAAAACAACACAGGGAAACCGGAAGCAGGAATTTAAGAAAATATTTTTAAGTTGATATTTATCTTATTAGAAACATATTTTTCATATATATTATATATTATATACACACACACACTATATAAACTTTCTTACCCACAATTGCATAGCACCTTAAATAGCACCAAATAAAGAATTATTGGCTATGACACCCGGTGAAATCCCCTTCTTTTTTGAGGAATGTCATGGGATCACCTGAACAGATGAACGGGACTTTGGATAAATCAAATGACAATACTTCCAACAATGCAGTGGTCCCCCAATACTGCGCTGGAATGCCAGCCATGATGAGAAGCTCAAGTTCCATCGTAGGGGTTTGAGCCCACATCCATTTGACTCAGAACCGAGAGTTATACAAACTGAGCCAGGCTGACACAAACTGTGGGAAGTGATGTCATTATACGTTGCACAAAGATGTAATGGCATACTACAAGGAAAAATACAGAATTTCTAGCTAGATAACTCAGCCATAGAGAAACACATTATTCCGGGCATTTGATCTAGCAGAGCATTACGTTGGTGTGTAAACAGCAAAAATATCTCTAAATAAATAAGTCATCAATTGCCAAATATTACTTGAATGACAGAGAAGAGATGTATATATATATATACATATACACACAGACACATATAAAGAGAGAGACATACAGACAGAGTGGGAGAGAGAAATAGTCACAGAGACAGCTATAACAAACAGAAAGGATAAAGAAGCAATGAAACATCAGTGGGACAGGCAATCACCATATGTGCTCAGAGTTCAGCACATTCTTTAAAATAATAAGAAATGGAGGCACAGTTAAACTAAAACCTACATACCATCCTTCATTCTTAAGCATATTCAACTTGAGAAATGTAACTTATCTTGGGGCCAACGTCTAGAGTTGTCTTTATTGCAAATTGGAACAATGATTAGGTATGTTCCAATCTAAGCATGATAGAGCAGCAATGATGTCCTTCTGTCTCACATCTTGCATTCTCTTGTACTAACTGTCATTTCTCTTTCGTACAAATTAAAGACACACTGAGGATGGAAAGACTTATACAAGTCAAAGGCACTTGTTGCATTCTTTTCACATCACTGTACTCCAGCTACCAGAACCCACTCCAGAAATGATCGTCTGACCATTCAAACAATAAACCCAAGATATTTTAATCCTATTGTAGGAGTGTGTGAACGACATGACTTCACGGTCATTACGAGGGCCAATATCACAAAGCAAATTGGCTCTCACTAGGAATGAGCTGTTGGCATAGATTTAAAATTGACTAATTAAGCAGTATTCCTTATGCAGGTCCCACTGGAGAGATAATGTTAGTGTCTAATCACAGTTTACTTTTGACAGTTTCAAAATATATTTTAACAGCCTTGTCTATTGGATGTAATGTTGTGACAATCTATCACATGGTTTGGTTGGTCACTGCACTGAACAGCACCACCATCTGAAGCTCTATTGCCATTGGTAATTGGCTGAGCATTGAGTCTTAATAATAATAATTCTTGCATTTGATATAGTGCCTTATCACCTCATTGAGATGTCTCAAAGCACTTCACAGAATATATTGTAATATGAATTAACTATGCATTTTGTGAGCAAAACGTGGCAGCCAATTGCGCGTAGCAGTGTCCCATAATCAATGGATTGAGAGTTCAAATTATTATTTTTTTTTAGAGGGATTTATTAATCCCGGAAAGCGATTCACCAATTGACTAACAACCAAGTTCCTACTGACTGCTCTGTAATCAGAGCTGTGTGGAGTAAGGAAACTCAAATCCGAGTCCTCTCGCTAACCACTATGCTGTGGGACTCCACATATATTTATATAAGTCTTGTGAAAAAGTTGAAGCTGTTGTGAAAAGTTGTCTGCGGTCTGTGTTGGCAAGGCCAGCTCACCCACTCTTCCATCTGTAGGTGTAGCCACAATCCAACACTGTTCCTCCATTTATTCTAGCAGTGGACATGTTGGGAGAAGGAGGAGGGGAAGTAATATTAAAAAAAATGTATATATAACTAAAAGAACGCTTACTGCATCATTTCCTTGCCCACCATGTGCATCCCCAGAGGAGCATTGCCATTCACTTATTCCACATAGGATGTGGCATCAGCTATTCCTTCCTATGTAAGTAACACAGCTTAAAAGAATGTAAAAAAAATCCCCCAGCAATTCTATTTGCTTGTTCAACAAAACTGTCTCTAGGAACTAGCCATCCTCAACCAAAACATCCTTCAATACTTTCTTTCTGCACAGTTACTACAGTCATATCAATGAGGTTTTCGATAAAAAGGCCTCTTCAATAATACAATTTGATACATAAATTGATACGTAAATTAGCTATTGTTTTACAAAGTTCAGTAGCTTCCGTTATATATTTTGTATATATATAGCATGAAAAGTGCTATATCAAATGCAAGTATTATTACATCTAATCCTATTTTGTGCCAGTCACCTCTACTGCTTATGCAATTACCTCGCTCAGTAGGTTTTCAGTCTGAGCACCTTAGAAATGTGTTCCTTCGCGCTGGAGTAAATGAGGTATGAGCCTTCTGCGGTGTTGAACTGCTCCCAGTCTGTGCAGCCGTAGGTCGGTAGCTGGTGGACAGGGACAAAGCTCTCATAACCCTGCCACCTACAAGGAAAGAAAGAGAGAGGAGAAACATCTGTCAGAAATTGTCCATTATATATACTCTTCGTTTCTGTGCTCACTAAGATCAGTGATGACAGAAATAAATGGAAAGTTGTTGCTTTTCAGTTTGGGACAGAATCGAGCAGTCTTGGCCCAGGCTACATCCAATGTATAATATCCTCTATACAGCACCATCACCCATTCTCTGGTCAGATGTATCACCGATCACAATAACAATAACGTGCTTTATATAGTGCTTTTCACGGGGTGGTGGTGGGGATCTCAGAGTGCTATGCCCCCCGCCCCCCCGTGAAGTGGCTGAGCTTTGATGCCAAGCTGGGGGGAGGTGACAAAAGGGCCAGTCAAAGAGGAAGGCCTTCAGGGTGTGACGTGAAGTCAGGGAAGGAAGTGGCAAGTTGGAGGGACCATAGTTTTGGGGTGAGTTCCATCTTTTGGGGTGTATTGGCTGAAAGCACAGCCACCAATGGAGGAGCGGAGGGGACAAGGGATGTGCAGAAGGCTGTTGCTAGCTGAGTGGAGGTAGTGGGTGGTGAACTAGGGAGTAAGCAGGACGGAAAAGTAGGCAGGTTCCAGAGCATGCCGTCATTTGTAAACAGTGGAGCCTGGCAAGGACTGGGTGATATGGAGGGGTGGGGGTGGGCGGTGGAGTTTGATGTGGGTGAGAATAGAAAATATTGGCGGTGGACTTTTGAATCAGTTGGATTTTGTGAATGGTGAAACTGGGGAGACCTGTGAGAAGAACAATAGAATAATCGAGGAGGAAGGTGACAAATGCATGGATGAGGGTTTCGGTTGGGTTGGGTGTGAGGTACGGTTGGAACAACAACAACAACAACAAGATTCCATTTATAAAGCGCCTTTCACGTCAGGAGGACGTCCCAAGGCGCTGCACAGTTGGGTCATGACCCGAGCACGGGGGAAATGGTCAGGGTGAGGGGAGGGAAGGGAGCGAGGAGGGGGGAAATGGTCAGGGTGAGGGGAGGGAAGGGAGGGAGCGAGGAGGGGGAAGAGAGTCGAGAGGGGAGCTGAAGGCACGGCAATGTGACAGAGGTGGAGGAAAGCAGTCCTGTCAGGGACTGGATATGCGGTAGATCTGGTCAAATATAATGCAAAGCTTCCACCAGGGGTAGGCTCAACACAAGGGATTCGCTCAATAACATGGTTAGGTTCAACAGGGTTAATGGCCTCTTATGTGCTGTAATTTCTAGAATTCTAGAAAAAAAAGGCACTGATGAGTCTCTGTACAGATACAGCCAAACATGGGGATGGAAGGTCTGGTTTATATCTCAGCAGTGTTCTTTCATCACTGAGACATTTCCATTATTTAAGTAACATTGTGGCATCAGTAACAATAAACTGACTCTTAGACATCCTCACCTGTAAATAACACTGTTTAAAAAAAACTTTGAGCCATCAAAAGAGTTTGCCACAACCAAGAAGCTGTCATCACCCACAGTAAAGAATTCCCAGTCAACTGCACTAAAACAAAGAGAAAACACAATTAATGAGACTATAACTCAATGAGATGAACACAGGGAACCACCAGTCAATAAAACAGAGAGATCAGCACTAGATATTAAATCAGAGTAAAGGGAAGAACTGGTCCATGGAACGTAAATGAAAGCAAATGAAAAGGGGTTTGTTCCATTAGTACCGTACGACTGGGTGTGTATGGAAAGGTGTTTGAACTATTGAGATTGTACACTTTGAATCAAATATGTATTTATTTTTTTGCCAATAATTAGTGGATTTGATGAACCATTCTTGGTTAAATTCTCATTGCAACATCTCTAAGGAATGTTAGTGAGTGCTTCACCACTTTCAGTGCTCATTTCCTATCACCAGAGTCAGTGCTCCTTTCCTAGGCAGTTGCCACATACTCCCATTTATTTCCGTTCTTCGGAAGAGATGATAAAGTGAGGCCCATCTGCTTGTCCAAATGAACGTTAAAGTTCCCATGGTATGGCACTATTCAAATAGAGAATTGTGTCCTGGTGTCCCAGATAATATTGGTCATTCAATTCAAACTTTGTGGCCGTTTGTGAGTCTTTGCCGAGCTTTAGACATCTTCACCTGTGCATATCCTCACTTGCTCCAGCTGAGTAAAGTGGCTGGAACGTTTGCCTACAAATACACAGTCACGACAATCAATCCTGCTTTGAAACGTTTCAATGATGTGTTAAGGCGCTATGTCTAGGGCACGAATTATTATTATTATTGGCATTCACTAAAGCTTCACTGCCTGCAAAGACTGAGTGCAAAATGGAAAGGAGCTGAGGAACTATTGCCATTAGATGGCGATGTTGCTTCCAAACTCACACCTGTAAGCAGAATTCCTATACGGTTTGATAGACCCAGTGGACTCTTCCACAATTGTACAGAGAAGAGCAAAGTCTAAATAACAGTTTATTCAATGCTGTAAACATCTGTGTACTCATCACTGAAGTAATATGCAGATTCAAGCCTCAACATCATACCATTAGTATTTAATACTGTACTAATGGATTCACCTTATATAGTCAGTGAATTTGTAACTGTGATATCCTACCTTTTCAAACTGAATGGCCAAGAGGCCATTGAGTATCACCAGAGGTAGAAGGAGTAGAGAGAAGTCAAGATAAGTTGAGACTTAATGGTTTGGTGAGGCCAAGCTTGTATTTTAGAAGGACTGAATTAGTTAAAAAGATTTTAAACACAAATTCTAACTTCCGAAGAGCTTAAAGGAGATTGAGGGCAGGAAAATGCTGGGATGCCACTGCATTCCTGGCTAAGGATAATGACCGGCTGGTTAGGTAGCAGGTACAGAATGTTTAAGCAAAGAGTTCACACAGGCACATGGCAATGAAGGACCATGGCTCGTTTGACCTGAGGGTTGGAAAAACTGTAATTATGTTCTGTACAGAAATGTAGGATATCCATGAACAGCAGCTGAAGACTTTTCTCTTTGACAGTATCTATTGTCACCTTGTTTTTTTGCGCTCTCCCTCCCCCCCCCCCAATTGACCTGCACCTTGATTCAGCACATGAGATGCTACCCCCAGAGAAGGGCTATATAAATACAAGTTGTTGGTGTGTATGCCACTGCTGAATTTATTGATACTATAGTGGATGCCAACAAAGATAGTTGATACTGCACCAATTGGCTTCTTCAGAAGAAAATTGAACATGCTTTTGCTTGGGAACAACATTGGAGAATATAAGGACAGGTGCAGACTGAAACGGACAAATACACAGACACAATGGTTTGGAGACAGAGAGAAGTGATGTTTATGGAGGAAAGAAGATTAGATTCAAACAGTGATGATGTAGGGATGAACGAGCAATGTGAACTGCTTGTTCGAGTAGCTTTAAGGATTAGGGAGTTTCTACACAGAAGATTCGCCAGAGGAAGATGTGGTGAAGTCCACATAAGGTAGGTTTTTGTGATCTGTGGAAAGAGCAGATTCAACAACAACATTACATTTGTAAAGCGCCTTTCAAATCAGGAGGATATCCCAAGGCGCTAAACAGTCAGGGATCAGGACCCGAGCGTAGGGTTGGGATGAGGGAGCGCAGAGGGGGTAGGAGGGCGGCTGAAGGAGGGTCAAGAAGGAGGGTCTTGAGTCGTGCCTTGAAGGAAGCAAGAGAGGGAGCAAGGTGAAGGGATTGTAGGATGGAGTTCCAAAGATTGGGGGCAGAAAGGCTGAAAGCCGGCCGCTGATGGTAGGGCAGTTCAGGCGGGAGACCTGGAGCAGGCCGGAGCCTACTGACCAGACGGTGCGGACCAGTTGATGTAGGAGGGGGCAAGGCCTTGATGGGCCTTGAAAGTAGGACGAAGATTTTGAATTCTATCCTCTGAGAGATGGGGAGCCAGTGGAGCCGAACGAGGATGGGGGTGATGGGGTCACTGAGCCTGGTGCGGGAGAGGACATGAGCTGCAGAGTTCTGGATGATCTGCACCTTGTGGAAGGAAGAGTTGGGGAGGGAGTTTCCGTAGTCGAACCTTGAAGTGACAAATGTGTGTATGAGGGTTTCAGCTGCCTGAGGGGTGAGGCAGTGGTGGAGTTGGGCAATGTTGCGGAGGTGGGGAAAGGCAGAGAAGGTCATGGCATGGATATGGTGGTAAAAGGACAGTTGAACAAGACGCCCAAGTTCCTAACTGGCTTGGTGCACAACCGTGGATGCTGATGCTGCCAGTGCTTGAGGTGCTGAGGCACTGGCGCATGCCAATCGAGAAGGTCTCAGTCTTACTGACATTCAGCTGTAGAAAGTTGGTTTTCATCCAGGACTTGATGTCAGACAGACAAGTCTGTCAGGACCTCAGTTGTCCTGGAATTGAGGGTGGAGGCAGAGAGATAAAAATTGGGTGTCTTCTGCATACATGTGGAATTTGACTCCGTGTCTGCGGATGATGCCACCAATGGCGAGGATGTAGAGGTTGAAGAGGAGGGGACCGAGGACAGAGCCCTGAGGAAGAGAAAACTATGGCGGAGACAAATTGGAGACAGTGTGAGAGAAATCTTGTTGTTGTTGAGAGACAAGACATGAACCATTCAAGAACAGAGCCTTGAAGGTTGAGATGAGAGGAGAGGCAGTGGAGGAGGATGGAGTGGTCCACGGTATGAAAGGCAGCAGAGAGGTCGAGGAGGATGAGGAGACAGAGGGAGCCCTGGTCACAGATGGACAAAATGTCATTTGTCACCTTGACGAGAGCAATTTCCGTGCTGTGAGCAATTGGAGAGGCTCGAGAAGGGAGTGGTAGTTGAAGATTGAGTGAAGCTGGGAAGCAACAAATCTTTCAAGGACCTTTGAAAGAAAAAGAAGGTTGGAGATGGGGGGTAGTTAGAAGGCAGAGATGGATCCAGGGAAGATTTTTCAGGATGCAAGTGATTGTAGCTTTTTAGGGGGGGTGGGAAATGTGCCAGATGAAAGGGAGAGATTGATGATGTCGGAGAGTAGAGGGGCAAGGAGGTGGAGCTCGGAGGTAAGGCGAGGGGTGGGGATGGGGTCAAGGGAGACGGTGGTGTGTTTCATGCTGCATACGGTGGTGATGAGAGGAGGGGGAGACGGGTTTGAAAATGTGGAGGGAGGGATGCGTAAGGGTTGGAGTGTGAGGAGGAAATGGGGAGAGAGTGGCGGTTGGATTGCCAGATTCAATGACTTTCTCTCAATCCATGCGTTCTGTGTTCTTAAAGGATATCAACCATGCAATAAGGTTCAAAACTGTCAAACTAGGAGATAGATACTGATAGTTACTGGAGACAGGCCTGAACATGTGGCCCAACCTTATTTACTTACACAGAGGTTTGGGCTGTATTCATAATAATATATTAATCCTTGCATTTGATACAGCGCATTATCACATTATTGAGACGTCTCAAAATGCTTCACAGAATGTACTGTAAAGTGATGGGGCTGTGTGTATTTTGTGGGAGAAATGCTTTGCTGAGATCAATAGATTATCAGAAGTTTATCTCAGCACAACCAAAGGTCCAAGTAATAACAACATCTTAGTCCTTTAGCCACAAACCCGCCAATTTTCCATAGGTTTTACTTGGTCTGAGGAGGTTCTGCACTGTTGCTAAGAGGAAATTGAGTCTCACAGTTAGATGGTTATGGAGAATACAACAGTGCCAGTCTGTGATGAACATCATGAGCACCTTACTCATATGGGAGTTAACCTTGGTCTCACACTGTAAAGACACTTATGTGTCATTCTCACACTCTCGTTGTTATTTGAATGAAATATTTGGTGCTCATCAAATTGAGGGATGGGTATTGCCAGGGAAAGGAATATTATCCCACACAGTCTCATCAGGAAGCATTAACAGGTCAAGTTCAACACAATTTTACATAAAATATACAGCACGCAAACAGACCACTTGGCCTAACCGTCCTTACTCCCTCCGTAGCCCTTATTTCCCCTCTCATCCCTTACTTTGAGGCAGAATGAAATACATTCTGTAAAAAAGTGTTTTATTCCTCTTTTGAAAAGCATAAAATGTACTCTTTATTTCTCAATCCTCTTTGTGCATGAGTATGTGTGGGTGCGTGCATGTGCGCCATTTTACATGTGTGTTTCTGTCCTTGCACTTTTGTGTTTCTGCCTCTACCTTTTGGAACTCTAACCCAAACTCTTCTTCTCGCTCCCTCTCTTGCCTCCTTCAAGGCACGTCTCAAGACCCTCCTCTCCGACAGCAGCTTTGGTCACCCTCCTGATCCTAACTCCCAGCTCGGGTCCAAATCCCTGGCTATCCAGTGCCTTGGGATGTTCTCCTGACGTGAAATGTGTTATATAAGTGTAATTTGTTGTTATTATTGTTTGTGTGTCTCTGCATGTGTGTTCGTGGTATGCACATGAGTGTGAGCACAAGTACAAACTTACCTATATGTAGGAATATCCTGAAACTTAACAAACATCTGTGCAGTGATATTGAGTTCGTAGATTGTAGAGTTTATGTTGAAAGGATTGATTTCAGCTGGGGCACCAGTCTCATAGCTCTGGCTGTTTGCAACTGCAAGGAACACTCTCTCTTGAACCTGGAATACTTCCCAGTCTGTAGCACCATATGTCTGGAAAAAGGGAGAAATCTTGATTTCAATCAAGTAAGAAAATCACAATATACAAACTAATCTGTTGTTAAAGGCATATGATAGCCGAGTACTTAAGGCAAGCTAGTTCCTGCATCCAAGCAAACCAAGTTGCAAGAGTTTGGTGGCCGCCAATGTTTTGAATGTCAAAGACTGCAGACCAGAAATTGCTTGCTGCTGAATCGTCAGATAAGATATCAGTTATTTTACTGAACTCATCACATTTGGATAGCACCAGGATCACAAATCCTTTATGACAGTTGATTATATTATTCTACATTGCTGCCCACATAAGTTACCCACCAGCCTAACTGAGGGTAGAGGACATCTAGAACTCGTTCCCCCAAAAGGCTGTGGATGCTGGATCTATTCACATCTTCAAGACTGAGGGGGATAGACATTTGTTAGGTCAGGGTATTAAGGGATATGGGGCATAATTGAGGTACAGATTAGCCATGATCTTATAGAATCATATAAGTTGATACTTGGCAGGATAAGTTGTCTGTATGGAATGCTCAGAGTGTAAGTCTGACTACAATTGCGTAAAGAGGTCATCTAACTACTAATCTGCCATGTATGTCAGACTGGTGCAGTTGTAGGGTAGCACTATAGCCTACGAGTTAGAAGATTGTGGGTCCAATATCAGGATTTTGAATCACATAGCCCTCCTCGCCAGTCTCCCCTCCACTGCCATTCATAAAATCCAGGTCATCCAGAACTCTGCCGCCCGCATTTTTATCCGTACCAAACTCTGCTCCCCGATTACCCCAGTCCTTGCCAGACTGCACTGGCTGCCTGTCCCAGAGAGGATCAACTTCAAGATCCTCACTCTTGTCTTCAAATCCCTCCACTCCTCTGCACCCCCCCACCTCTCTGACCTCCTCTATCCTCACAACAGTGCCCGTTGCCTTTCCTCCACCGGTCTGGCCTCCTCTTTGTCCCCTGATTCCTCTGCTCCACCATTGGCGACCGTGTCTTCAGCCACTCCGCCCAAGGCTCTGGAACTGCATTCCTCACTCACTTTGCCTCGCCCCCTCTCTTTCTATTTTCAGGTCTCGGTTGAAGAGCTTTCTTTTCGACCGCGATTTGGTCACCTTCCTCCCCCTCCCCCTGGCTCGGCCCCAGGATCCGTTACTGTGAAGCGCTCTGAGACGCCGTCTGGCGTGGAGGGCGCTACATAAATCCAAGTTGTAAATCGAGGTCCCATCTGTCTGTTCAAGTGGATATTAACAATTCATTGGCACTATCCGAAAAGAGAAGGGATTTTTTCTGTCCAACAATCCCAATTGGTCAAACACTCAAATTGGTCACTTACTCCTTGGCTGTTTGTGGAATATTGCTGTATGGAACCGTCTGCTGCACAAAATACACAGTCAATCCACTTTACAGCTTTGATGTGATAAGGTGCTGTATCAAATGCAAGAATTATTATTATTAATAAAATAAATAACCAGCAGAAAGGGGCAGTGACTTAGGATGCTAGAAGACATGAAGGCTATTTTGATATTTCAGTATGGTGAGGGAAACAGAAAATCAAAAGGCCAAGTGTCTTGGTTACTTGATTACCTAAGGGCAGGGAAGATTTCTGCATTTTCCTTTACGTTAAGGTCTACACCAACATCTTACAATTTCACAGTTGGTCCATCACTTTAGCTGCAGGCACATCCAGGAAGCTGGATCACTCACAGTGGGTAAGAATTATGTTACCAATGTGAGGATGACTGGTGAAGTAAGTACTGGTCAACATCTGCATTGAGCCAAAGTAAGTGGGCATAAATGTAAATGGTGAATGAGAGGATTAGGGAAGAAGCAGACTCATAGGGTGGAGTGGGCAAGAGACCATTGAGTCAATTTACTAATCCACTCACCACTAGCATGACGTCTGCAAAACCCAATCTTTTCTTACTCATTCTATAATTCACCTGTCTGCCAACTTGGGTATGAATGACAGTTTCCTTCCAACTTGCTTCAAACCTGACACATCAAGAGATTCTCCTAAAATTTTGAAAACATTTGGATGCCTTAGATCCTTTGGATAACACACTAAAATGAGACCCTGTTAGCTTGCCATAGCTGTTCAGGTGGGGAGGTTAAAGATCCAATGACACTATTTTGAAGAGCTTTCCAAATAAAACAAAACACAGGCTCCATCTGGTTATTTATCTTATTCATTGCTGTTTGCTGGGGGAAGATTAGTTACATAACAATAGTCACTACACTTCAAAGTGACGCACTGTTTCAAGTGCCTGGAGATGTTTTGATGAGGTAAGGGTGAAACTGAATGCAAGTAATACGCGTGCAGGTGGTTTCAATCACCTCGAAGAGTTAATCCCTCAATTTGATTCACTTCAGATACAAGCTGATTCTGTGAATATATTGCACAACATCCCTGAGTGTGGGAGAACAGGGTCCCACATTGGAATTCCCCACCTATAATGTTTGAGGTATTGTGTCTCTGCCAAATTTGTTTGTGCAAACATCAAAGCAATGGTTTAAAGTGGATTTTAATAACAATTATCCTTTCTGCAATCTCATCACAGAAATTACCTCATCCTATGACTCCAATGTACACCTGGGTTAAATTAGGCTTTATATGTCGTCTCATCAAATACTTACTTAACTCTTCGAGGATGACCCTATTAATCTGGGTAAGAGTTGGCAATTGATTTTCACTGGTATGGCTTATGTAGGTCTCTATGGCAGCTCTTGTTGACAAATTTGACCCATCATAGTAGATAAGGATTGTGGAGTCCCGTGGCATGGTGGTTAGCATACTCGCCTTGCCAGTGAGAGGACCCGGGTTCGATTCCCGGATGAGGCAAAACCTTAGGCAAGTTTCCTTACTCCACATGCCTCTGCTTACCCAGCAGTAAGTAGTAGCCGGTTGTTAGTCAATTGGTGGATCGCTTTCCAAGGGTAATAATCCCTCCAAGGAAAGAAAAATGGTCACTGTGTTTGCAATAGACAAGCAGGTATATTTTGGTTTGCATTTCAGACTGTTTAATTACAAATTCCCACCCCACTCAACTCCTCTCCCGAATGTGGTGGATTGTGCTGGCATATAGTGTCTAAGATGTTGGAAGTTTTCAGGTCTCTGCTCCAGTGATACATTTGTGAACCTAAACAGTGAGTATTGAAGATTATTCAATTGTGTGAGGTATCATTACAGTCCTGATCCTGTCCTCACCCAAAATTCAATTGTACAGTAGTGTTAAAGTGCCAGCTGGCCAACATATCGGAGATTAATATAGTATCACCAGTGACGCCGGTATTGTATCATCACTGTACTATAGTATTAATACAGCTCCAGCCTCATACTGTACCATGCTTCTAAAGCAGCCCTCACATTTCTGGAGAATTCCACTTACATATTTGGCCTTGGATTATGTGTGGTATCTGTGCTTCTACAGTCAATGCAATTCACTGGACCCCATACTTCTGACAGAAATGCATCACCAACTGTTTATTATTTCTGATATTCTGCTCACAGCAGCGTAGATAGCCTCAATGCCCGACCTCCAACTCTGGTGGTCTTTGTAGTTTGAAATCATTGGGTTAAGCCTTTGTCAACGAATCTCCGTGCACCACATGGTGATAACTCAACCCCTTGTCATCCACAGCGAGGGTCACACTGATGAGAACGGGCGTGCAGAGCATGTATATCCTTGGGCAGTGTGGCTCAGATAAGCAGACTGCTTAATCATCAAAGCAGAAACAGTCTGGGGGAAGAGGGCTGGGGAAGCAAGGCCCTGTCATTAATTTCCATGGAACAGTTAGCGCGGAAACAGCTTGGAGCTGGAAATGAAGCCTTTAATCCCTTCACACTTATTTGGTAACATTTCTGTGACACTCACATCATATTTACTTTACAGTGCATCCGTCCCTAATCTCTTTGGGTGCTATTCTCCTTCGCTGTGCAAGGAGGAGGGGAAATCCAGGCTTCAGTGATTGTTTCCCATTTTAACTTGGTTTGAACTCAAGAAAACCTGGGACACCACTCAGCAATTCAGCTCATTCTGTCCACAAGCGGATGTTCAATCCATTCCACCAAATAAGCTGCCCAATTCCACTTAATTCTCCTGAAGAAAGCTTCTCCCTACCTCCTGCACTGTTAAGGTCATTCTCAAATGTACTTTTCAGGGTATGCTTCTTCACACGGATCCTATTTAACAGCTAGAATTGGTTACCAGGAAGGGAGGAGGTCAGACCCATTTAACCACCAGTTTTATCACATCTTCCCATATTCTGATCTCCTCATATCCCACTCCTCTGCCTGATCCCTTCACTCAATTAACACAGACCTGCTACATGTCCCCTGCCTCCTCTGCTCCACCATCAGTGGCCAAGCATTCAACCCCCAATCTCTGGAACTCCCTGCCTCTACCCTCCTCGTCTCTATCTTCAAATCCCATTTCAAACCTCTATGGTCATCTCTTGCTCCCCCACTTCCTGTTTGAGGGCATCCACCTCCACCACTGTGAAGAGCTCCATGACATTATCCAATGTGAAGGGTGCTATAGAAATGCAAGTCGTTGTTGTAGGGTAGATATTCTGGAAGTATGAGATCAAGCAGGCCAAAGGCTCTTCTCCCAAATCTCTGTTGTGAACAGTCCTTACATCTACCATAGCTCTTCCTTTACACAATACATCCAGAAGAGTGATTATATTGCACATGTTCTCACAACAGTCACTCCCCCTCTGGCCAAATAAACAAAGCTGTTAAGAAAAGCGAGTGATTTAAGAACCTAAAAACCATGATGGGAGAGCTTGCACATGCTTGCAGGAAGCACAGCAAGCAAGTGCAATGTACAAGTGGCTTGCTGGATTTACCAGACTTCACAGCTAATCCCCCGTCCCCAGGCAAAGTTAAAGAGATTTTCTGATCTTATGCTAAGTGAATAAAATGCTTCTCAATTGCCCCTCAAAATAGGCGTTCACTTAGAAAAATCTGTTAACAGCAAATGTTTTCTCTTTTAAATGAAAATAATGGGAATTATTTTTCCCCCCAACATTCTCTTTGAGGGTGCTGACTCACACTGCACCACTGATCCAAGAGGTGCCAGCAGGTCCCCACTGTCTCACCCCAGTGACCACCCTGTGTGTCAGCCTGTCCAATCAACATTACCAGGTTACTACAGCTTGGGGGGCGGTGGGGGTGGGGGCTGCATTACAGCTGAGCCTGATGTTGTACTTTACAGAACTGCACATGGGTTTAAGCAGATTAGACAATGATTAGGAGGAGCAACTCTGAGCGATTTCTTCCTCCCTTGTTCAGGTCACTGAAGTCATTTATATCAGTAGGTTTAAGACTTTTCACAGGACTGGCTGTTTGACTAGTCACAGGACTGGCTGTATGACTGACTACATTATCAGCTGCAAAATCGTCCATACAACTGACTGTTTTATTGATGTTCACAGACCGTTACCAATGTAATACTAAGATGAAGTTCCATTGCAGTATGCGGAGGAGAGTTGCATTGTCTTCCTGTCCAGGTTAAAGATCCCATGACACTGCTCGAAAGGAGAAGGGAATTGCTCCTAGTGTTTTGGCCAAAACTCCCCCACATAAATTGGTTGTTTGTGGGACATTGTCATGCACAAAGTTACTGTGCACAATGTGTCTGCCATATTTCCCTATGAGTTCACAGTCACTGCACTTGGCTGCAATTACATGTGAAGTACTTAAAGATGTTTTCACATGATAGGTGCAAAATGAAATTCAAGGATTATTATTATTTGTAAACTCAATCAGAAGGCAATCAGAACTGTGGTCCTGTTGCCATTTCACAAGTTAGGTGGAAGCCTGGAAACTATTTAAAGGAATGGAGGAGGAAGATTTTAAGGAATGATTGAAGGGATAGTAGAGGATAAGGTAGCTCAGAATGCTACCTACCTAACTCACTGCACTTCCAATCTGAAAACCACTTTGTACAAACAAAATGCAACTATAGGCATATAGACCAGTATTAAGTGGTCCTGTAATGTTCTGTAATAGTACACTATGAGATAGCTTCACAGGCTCCTGTAATATTACACTGATGGGATATTTTCACATTTATTCAAGACTTTTATTCACTTACCGGGATTGACTGGAAAAGTCGGAACATTCCACCCAGTTGGATATAAATCCGTGAATATATCCTGGTCGATGTGCCATTGAATGTGTTTGCAACAACTAGAAAAGCATATGGTCCGATGGTGAAGAATTCCCAGTCATAGGCTCCGGAGGTAGCGATGGTCTGGTTTGTTTGAAAGCGACGTGTGTCTGGGTTCCACTTGTAAATGATACTGTCAATGTTGTGGTCGTCTCCTTAAAGATAAAAGCAAAAGACAGTGAGATTTGAGAATAGTTTCCGAGTCACCCTCTCCACAGGGTCTCTTGGATCAGATCATTTAATCTCATTCTTCCACAATCTCAATCCTACTGTCTTTCCATTAAAATTACTGTATTATGTGGGTGATGATAGGAATAATGATGTTATGACTTTCAACTCATATGGTCTAGGCTGACAGTCCAATGTAGTACTGGACATTATTATTATTATTAAAGATCCCTTCTCGCTATACGAAAATAGAAGGGAGCTTCTCCCAGCTCTTCTGACCAAAAATCTCCCCGGCTAAAATTTGTCATTCCCTTCAGGCTATTTGTGGGACATTGCTGGATGTAAACTGCGATCTGCTACAAAAACACAGACACATTTTCAGTTCTTGTTGAATATCCTTACTTAAGAGTTAAATAACTGAGTATATTTGAGAGTGTACAGAATTAAGTGTATTTACAATCAATGCGCTTGTTATTTTTATTTTAATGGAACAGTGACAGCACCAGAGACTTCACAGAACAGCTCCTCCCCCTGTGAGCTCAAATGAGTGGAACATGAAGGCTGACATAAGCAGCAGGTTCAAAGACTTTTAGCAGGTTTTGTCCTGACTTGTTCTTTGTCTGTGTTTGTCAGGAGCTGCATGGATTGAAATGGCCATTCCCCCATGTGTTGAAGCTCAGCATCACTGTATCACAGCACCTGAGTGCAAGAATGTACTATTTTCCATTCGCCAACAGCCAATGTAGGAGGTGGGACTGCTTTCTGTAAGGGGAGCGAAGCAACAACTTTCACTTACAATAAACTCCTGATAACTCGACCCTAACTTAACTTGTCACAACCACATAAGTCATCATGCTGTCAATATCCCAGCCGCATTTATTTATGTATTTGTACATATGCCTAACTTTACCACTGGATAACTTGTCACTGAACCCTTTCCCCTTGGAGTGATGAGTTATCAGGAGTTTACTGTATATAGCATCTTCCACATAGGATCAACATTTGAAGACCTTTACAAAGATGATGGGGATCACTGAGACAGGGGGAGGGAAAGTTTGTGGTATGACCAAAAGTACGGCCAAAGAGGTACATTGGGAAGGAGAGAAAGCAAGAATATTTTGAGAGAGTTCTTGAGAGAGTGGGGCATTAGATTGAAGCGTGGGCCACTGATAATGGGATGGAGGTAGTGAGGAACAAATACAGTTGGAAAGTAGAGTAGGAGAATCGGGCTGAAGAAGACTGCAAAGGAAGGAGTAGCAAGACCGTGGAGGGATTTTAAAATTGGGTTGACAAAAAGTTAAGATGCTGTGTTACAAGGAGTCAGCAGAGCCTGGCAATGACGGAGTTTGTGAAGTCTGGTGTGGGAGAGAATCTGAGTTGCAGAGTTTTAGATTAGTTAGATCCTGAGTTTATAAAGGGTGTAGTTCGGGAGGAAAATAAGGAGTCTGTGATCAGAGGTACAGTGAAGTTTATGGTGAACTATTGTGACCTGTAGCACCTGGGGACAATCCCAAACCATATTTGACAGAACTCTGTGTCCAGATTTTATTGTCCAATCCCAGTGGTCCTGAATACACTCACATACACTCAACACTGACCAATACATAACCAGAACCCAGAGCAAACGATTTATAGCCTTCACGGTTCATTCAAAACCTGGAGTCTGGGATTACCTTAAGGTCATTGCCCACTGTTTTAAGTGGAAATAGTATAATTTTTCTTTGTGTGAATTCTTATGCTCCACAAAGTGGGGGATTGTTGGGAAATGGAACACTTTTCGACTTCAGAGATTTACAGCTCTCTCAAAGATGCAATAGTTCTCTCAAAGATGCAATAGTTCTCTCAAATATGCAATAGTTCTCTCACTGCTCTCTCAAAGATGCAAAAGTTTTAGCTATCTGATCAGGAGCTTGATATGTGAGGAACAATGAGTATAAACCTCCATCCAACACCCCGTGGTGCAGGGTAGTGAAGCTCCCCGAGTATGGCCCTCAAGAACAAGGGGGTATGGACTCAAGCTCAGAAAAGGGAAAGTGAATAGACAGTTCAGGTTTCATTACTTCACACAGAAGCTCTGAGCTTAAGTCCAATGTGAGGTTTGAACCCACAGCTACTGAACCTAGAATGTTACTAACTGAACCAGGCGGACACCAGTTAGTTAATTGAGCCTTATTGTGCACGTCTGCTTTGAGAGAAATGATTATTCAAGGTCAATACAATATAGGATCCCAAAAACAAGCGCCCTTTACACGGGGCAGTTTCTCTGAGTGCTAAAAAGGTGATATTTTTCAGTTGTGTGTATGTGTGTGCTGCTGACTGTCTCTTTGACAGAGAAGAAGCTAAGAAGCAGGAACTACTGCTCAGAGGCCACTCTTCACTAAATGGGAAGTGAGAGATTTAGAGACCCTCCCTTATTGTTCAGTCTCATCCTTCAAGCAGATGAGTCAACTGATCAGGCTCAGACCATCCTCTGATGGTTTGTGCAGATGTAAGCCTCATTATATTAGTCACAGCACATCAGTCACATTCAGTCTTGCCTCATCTTTATCGGCTGTGCAAACCCTGCCCTGCTGCCCTCAACCCCTGGCTGGCAGGTGGCAAGGCGTCTTTTTCTGAAACATTGAGGGGCACAGGGAAAAGATGCAATAACAAGCAGCCCATGTCATTACCTTCACGATGATTGGCAACAGCTAAGAAGGTCTCCCCGTTGATGTGGAAGGCCTCCCAGTCCCTCGCACTGTGGGTCTTCAACCTCTGGTGCAAAACAAATTGCAGCTTCCTTTTGCTCCATCTGTAGATGACAGAATACTCCTGGTTGCGGTCATTCTTCTCAAAGTTAGCCACTGCCAAGAAGACCTGTAAAGACACATCGTTAATAGAAGCAGCCCTGCAGAGGGACCCTGTTCTGTGAGTGATGGGAGCTGTATACATCGATAATTGGAATCAATCCCCATTCTCAATGGAAAATGGGAAACATCAAATAGGTGCAGTTAAAACGAGGAAACTTATGGATTGAATATAACTATACCACAGACTTCTCTCATGGGATACGATTCAACAGGAGCTAGAAGCTCTCCAGTATGTAGTCCCAAATGGCCATTATTCAAGTGCAAGTCTCAAATGTGAGTGTCGGCAGAAAATTTGAGAACAAGCGGGCGTTACAGCTGAGCCTGATCCTATCCTCACCCAACGTCAAGAGTTTGTGAGTTGGTGATCATATTTTGATATGGTCCAATTTCTCTTAAGCTGGGAAAGAATGAGAGAGGAAAAAAAACGGAATCCCTTAGAGCAACAACTGACCCAAGACTGTGCACATACTTGCAAGAGGGGAAGGGAGCAGGGTGTTTCCAGAAGGTGACGAGAAGCAAGAATACCCTGGCTGATCACACCTTCCTGAAACCAAGGGATCTGAGGCTAATTGTAGCCTGACTGCTGCCTGAGTAACATCAGCTAACCTCGCCATACCAGGATTCATAACTCACACTCTCCAAACCCTATGGTTTATTGATGGGAGGATGTGTACAGCTTCTACACTAGTCATTTATAGAAACGGGGTCCTAAACCCACTTGGGGAATACATGTTTGGGCTTCATTGGAGCAGCTTTACCTCAGTGCCAATACGGAAATGCTTCCAGGCCTGAGCTTCGTACGTTGTGATATTCTGGTATGGCTCAAACCTCCCTTCCAACCATTTAAAAATGGTGGACCCAGGCTGAGGCTTCTTATTGGCTGTGGCAGCAAACAGGCCGATGTCTGGGATCTCAAAGATCTCAACGTCGAGAGTCTCTGAGTAGGTGACCAGATTCTGATATTCCTCCACATAGTCCAGTCTTTCTTTAGCTGTGAAAGAATCAGAGAGGAAAACATGTAAACTTCTTAGAGCATCAAATCTGCCACGACTGTGTTCTGTTTCTCTGCCTCAAATGAATCAGCCCCAGTTGGAAGGTGACTGCTATAGTTCTACAAACAGGACTTTGCAACCACGAGTGTCTTGGTCATTGTGCCATCCTCTTTTAGGATCAAATTGATGAAGGTAATACCTATTGAATATGTGGATAAAGGGCTTTCCATTGTGAGACACCCTTTATAAAAGCATTGTCATTTGTGACTGTCCCTTGAAGGTGGTGTTGCAAAGAAGTGGTTGAATCCCACCGAAAATGCATTGCAACATCATTGATTGAGTGAATGAATATTATCTCATAAACAAAGTTCAGCAACTATGCAGTAATAATAACACTGGCATTTTGATAATAGCGACTTATTACGTCTTTGAGATGTCTCAAAGTACTTCATAGAATATACTGTAAAGTGAATTGACTGTATATTTTGTGGGCAAAGCGCAGCAGCCAATTGCTCACAGCAGTGTCCCACAAACAGTCATGGATTGAGTGACCAATTTATTATAATTTTTTTTGAAGGTATTATTACCCCTGGAAAAGCGATCCGCCAATCAACTAGCAAACGGGTTCCTACTTACTGCAGATAAGTAGAGGTGTGTGGAGTAAGGAAACTTGCCCAACGTTTCGCCCCGCCAAGAAGCGAACTGAGGTCTCTCACTTGCGAGGCGAGTGCTCTAATCACTGAGCTATAGGAGTGAGTAGTATAACATCTACTTGAGCAAACCCCTGGTTTTGTCTCCCATGCCCTGGCTTCCCATGTGGTCTTATATTCCTGCTCAGTCAGAAAGCTTTACCACAATCCACAAACTAGTGGTTGGAAATCAAGACTTCAAAGCAAGACTTAAATCTGCTGACATTTGTGCAAATACCACATAATCAGAGAGATCCACACTTTAAAGCCTGGTTACAAAATGCAAAACTCCCAAAGCCCAAAATATCATAGTTTTTTTACCTTTAAGACTATTCATTGTCTTTGGATTGTTTATCCAAATTATGGCAAATTCTGAAATTTGGTCTTAATTTGGGAGCCAGGTTTTTGTAATTACCAAAAAACCTGGAAAAAAAACTTCAGAAGTAAGACCAAATTTAAGAATTCACCAAATTTCTATAGGATCCAAAATAATCTTCAGGCTAAAACCAGGTGGAATTTCTGACTCCAGGAACAGAGTCTTAAATCTTGCTGCAGCCGAAAAGAGTAATGATTTTCAGGCTTCGGCATCACGCCCATTTCACGTCAAGTTCTTGACACATGATGTACTCTCAGTAAGTCGGGTAAATAAAGAGAGGCCAGTCTTGACATGCTGCTAACTGTTTAGCACGTTTCATCAGCACCCCTTTTGTCCTCACAGTCGGAACTGTGGAAAGATTTACACTGTGATTCCTGCTGTCTGTATACAGGGCTACATTCATCAGTTCATTGTATAATTTGTAGCCACTGTTTTGGAAACAGCTGGAAATAATTTGTATTTGATATAGCGCTTGTAATGTACATGCTCCACATTATAAATATTCTACCTCATACATATTACACAATACAATACAAAATTACATTTGTAAAGCGCCTTTCACGTCAGGAGGACGTTCCAAGGCGCTGAACAGTCAGGGATTAGGGATTAGGCCCGGAGCGGGGTGGGGTTGGGGGGTTGGCAGCAGGGAGGGTGGAGGGCAGACAGGGTAGGAAGTTGGCCAAAGGTACGGATGAGAGGGTGGGGGCAGAGAGGCTGAAGGCCCAACTGCCGATGGGAGGGGACAGGGAGCAGGCCAGAGTCTGCTGAGTGGAAGGAACGGACAGGTTGATAAGGGGTTAGCAGGTTGAAAAGATAGGAGGGGGCAAGGCCATGGAGGGCCTTGAAGGTGAGGATGAGGATTTTGAACTCGATAACCTGAGAGATGGGGAGCCAGTGGAGCCGAGCAAGGGTGGGTGTGATGGGGTAATAGAGCCTGATGTGGGAAAGGACATGAGCTGCAGAGTTCTGGATTATCTGCAGCCTGTGGAGGGGAGAGTTGAGAAGGCTGACGAGCAGGGAATTGGCATAGATGAGCCTAGATGTAATGAAGACATGTATGAGGGTTTCGGTGGCCTGAGGGGTGAGGCAGTGGCGCAGTCTGGCAATGTTGCAGAGGTGGGGGAAGGCAGAGTGGGTTATAGCATGAATGTGGGGAAGAAAGGACAATTGAAGGTCAAACAAGACGCCAAGGTTCCTGACTGGCTTGGTGAGGTGGTGTGTGCATCCATGGATGCTGATGCTGCCAGCGCCTGAGGCGTGGAGGCGCTAGCGCGAGCCAATCAGGAGAGCCTCAGTCTTGCTGATGTTCAACTGTAGAAAGTTGGTGCTCATCCAGCACTTGATGTCTGACAGGCAGTCTGTCAGGACGTTAGTGGTCCTGGATTATATATTACCATTCATGTTCCACAGTAAACATGATCTATAAAATACCTAAACCCAAAGCCATTGCTATCTATCAGGGAGCAAATACTATAAGCAATGCTTCTTTATCTGAATTTCTATCTTCATTTTACCTTTTAACATGGACACCCAGGTCTTGCCATCACAGATAAACAGGCCTCTTCGGAAGACATCAAACCAGAGACGCCCGGCTTCAGTTTGAGTGCAGGGTGGGTGGCTTCCTAAGGTCACCTTGACTTCAGCTTCTAAACTCAACACAGAGAGATGGAGGAGGGGGGTGGGGTGTCACAACAGTAAGGGGGGAAATAATGATAACAATAATAATCCTTCCATTTGATATAACGCCTTATCGTGTCTTCGAGATGTCTCAAAACCCCCTCATAGAATATACTGTAAAGTGAATTGACTGTATATTTTGTGGCAAAATGAATAACATTCACAGTCTAAGCAGGACAGGAAGCAGATAGAACACACTACTGGAAGAGGATCTACATATGTCCAATCCCGACATTACTTTCCATCAGGAGCCATTCATGGTGTAGGACATACTTTCTGCCTTTATCCTCCTGTCCTAGAACCATAAAAATTTGCAGCATAAAAGAAGGCTATTTGGCCCATCGTGCCTGTGACGGCTCCCTCAAAAGCAATCCTTTCAGTCCCACTGACGACACCCCTATAATCTGAATTTTTTTAGGTATTCTAGGTCCTAAATGCAATGACTGCAGCAGGCATTGATAGCCCTTCCCAAGTGCCTATTATTCATGTGCAAGTCAAGGCAGTGATTTAAGCAAGCCACTTAACCATGGAACGTATCAGTAGTGAGCCCAACATTACTCTCATTTTGTCTTCAAACACGCCCTTTCATCAGGGTTCGCCGGATAGTTAACAACAACACTATGATAGCAACCTTCACAAGACCGTATGAGGCAGAAGAGTTTTGGGAGAGTTCCAGAGAGCAGGATCTATTTTTTTTCTCTTCCTCCTTAGCTTAAGGGATTCAGAGACCAGCTGTAGTGCCCACACAGTAACAGACCAGAGACCATTCTGACTTGTGTGACCCTGTACCCTTAACAATTTGAAGGATGACATTTCCCCCTCAGTTTCCAACACAGATACTTTTAATTTAATATTATTTATTGCCTCCATTTGACCCAATTTCACTGTCTTGCTGCCTGTGTGAGGGGAGATATAAACATTTATGTAAGAATGGTCACAGCTAGGGTTCCCATTAGCTCACTTAGTAAGAGCACTACTCACTGTGATACCGAACCACAGACAACATAGATTTGAGGTTCAATCTCCACCTGCTGTGGCACTGAAATTGGCCTCAGTACTCCTGGTCTTTGAAGGTGGAGAATCAGTAAGTCAATATGAGAATGGAAGCCTTACCATACGGATACTTCAATACATCGTTCTCTGTTGGCTTGACCGGCAGCTCTGATAAAATGGTGGGTACAGAGAGTGTGGCTAATCTGGGATTGGGGCTGGGACACATTTTCCTCATAGCGTCCGATCCTGGCAGCAACACAAGCTGCCTCAGCAGGCCCTGCAACACATCACGTGAGAGACAGCTTCACAACATTACTCAGATTGTATACTTCTCTCCCCTACTCATATGGAGTCTTGTGGAGTTCCGTAGCATAGTGGCTTAGCTCGCCTCACAAGCCAGAGGACCCGAGTTTGATTCCCGGCAAGGCGAAACCTTAGGCAAGTTTCCTTACTGCATACGCTCCTGTTTAGCTGGCAGTAAGTAGGAACTTGGCTGATCGGCTAACCCTAACCCATCAGAATGGACTGCTTCAAATCCAGGAAGTGGAACAAATGTCATTTGACTAAGGAGATCTGCCCACTGACTATCACCTGCTGTCTGCCCTGGAAGCAAATAGAGAATCTGGTTTTATACAAGCAATAATTACTGGAATCAGGCCTACAAAATACACAGACACTACACTTTATAGTATATCCTGCGAAATGCTTCGAGGACAAGAGGGAATGAAGTCCAGGCTGTAACTAAAGGAGTAAAAGGAGAGAATCAGAGAAGCAATTTTGAGTGGGTATCAGAGTGCAGAACAGTGATCTCTGATCTGGGATGAAGTATCTGAGTTATGTGTCCTGAAAATGCTCACTGCTCGAGAAATGTTTCATCACCCTCCACCAAGATTCATCTCAATGAATTGGTTACAGTTATATTTCCCCCATCCAGTGTAACGTGTGCTGAGTAAGAGAGTGTCACCCTGTCCTCTCTTTCTCTTTCCCCAGTGTAAATTGTGCTTATGAAGACCCACATGAATGTAACATCCATTATCCAGACATAGTTGATCAGATTCACCCTGTTTGTACTCAACCTCATTTCCCCAAATACTTACTGAAAATAATCCCTTCTGCCTCCTTCTGTTCCCAATGTAGAATCTTGATCTTCCTACGTCTAGAGCTTCAGGGAAGGGATATCCAAAATCCTGCAAACGGTACAATTTCATTTTAAATACACACATCAAAACTCAGCAATTTCCTGGACATGGAAAACCACAAATTCCAATTATAAATGTACAATTCTTTGATCTTATTAAACGCAGAATTCATTCCTGTAATGAATAGAGAAAAGTAAAAAATATTTTCTTCATCCAATTATCACGTCCGCTCTCTTACAGGCGTTGCCTTGTGCTGAGGTAGTATCAGGGATGGCAGTCACCCTCCAGCACCTCACCATGAGTCTATTCTATGTGGCCAGACACTATTGTTGGCTGCTATGCCATGCTGGCTACACACAGGCAAGCCTGATCCTTCCACCACTTGACACTCTTGGTGTGATCTACCAGAGGGCCACTGGACAGTACCTCTTGACGTTTCTTTCTGTCTAACTTGGGGCAATAGGGTGGAGTCCCGTAGTGTTGTGGTTATGGCACCCACCTTGCAAAAGGGAGGACCCGGGTTTGATTCCTGGGCGGGGCGAAACCATAGGCACTGCTGTGCACAATTGCCTGCTGTGTTTTGCCCACAAAATACACAGTCAATCCACTTTTCAATATTTTCTGTGAAGCGCTTTGAGAAGTCTCAATATGTGATAAGGCGCTTTATCAAATGCAAGGAATATTATTATTTTTATACACTGATGGCTAAAAATAGCAAAGCAAAGAGTTCAGCGTAAGAAAGATACTATTGAGGCCGAATACAGGAGTGCCATTCCATCCCTGCAGAGATCAATCAACCCAGCTCACAATAGTGATTGAATCATGACACCAAGCATTGCATTTACCAATAATCATCCTTGCATTTGATAAAGAGCCTATAATGTTGAAAAAAAAATTGGCCGCCACATTTGTCTACAAATACACAGTCACTACACTTTACGGTATATCCTGTGAAGTACTTTGAGACGTTTCAGTAACGTGATCAGGCACTCTGTCAAATGCAAAGACTTCTGTCTGGTCTAGTAGTAGCATTCTCGCTACTGCCACCGATGATGGAATGAAGTCCCCAAAGGACCTGCAGGAGGCAGGAGTCGTGGGTTGGGGAGTAAGCAGGTTGGAGACGTAGTGAGGTCCTGGAACATGAAGGAAGATTCTCCCAGTGTTCTGGTCAACAATTCCCCCAAATAAAATTGGTCACTCATTCCATGACTGTTAGAGGGACATAATTGTGCGCAACTGGGAACTGCGTTTCACTCACAAAATACACAGCCTTACGCTTTACAGTATATTCTGTGAAGCGCTATATCAAATGCAAGGCTTATTATTTATTATTATTATAAGATAATTTTTAGAGGACACTTGAAAAACAAGGTTGTAAAATACAGTTCTGGGGTAGCAGCACTTTGCAATGCAACATACCACCACCCGCTGCTTCGCTATTTCCTTCCTGATTCTACACACGGTGAAGTGTTTAGAGAGGCACTTAACCTTCAGACAAAGTCTATTTAACGCTCGAATGTGCTGCACTCCTGTCTACACCGCCGCTAAGTCATACCTCACTCCATCATGGCTGAGGAGAAGCGGAGAATTACTCACACTTCCACGGGCTGACAGCAGTCCACCGACAGTGATGCAAAATCCCCAGATATGGCCAGCACCGCTGTATGCCAGCGTCGATCTGCCAAGCGGACACCCCGGAATGTGACCTGTTTCCTCAGGCCGGAGGAAAACTCAAAGTGGAGCTTGTCTTCGGAGAACCTCAGTCCCAGCAGCATGTGGCTGGTGCCCTCCTTGAGCAAAGTGAAGACATATTCATTCCTCTGCAATGTAAATGGAGGAAGTTAGTAATACTATAGAGTGACGCCTCTTCAAAAGCCTGCTGGTCATGTTGAATAACTTTTACATTTGATATAGCGTCTATAACAATGCAGTGCCTGAAAGCATTTCATACCTAATTGCTGCCAAGTATAGTGACTGCAGCTGTTGGCAAACTCAACAGCTAATTTGTTCCTAGCAATATCTCACAAACAGGCATAAGGTGCATGAAATATTCACCTAGAGGGCTGTTAGCCAGGTCTTGGAAAATCTCTCTTTGCCTTTTGAAAGTGTCTTTAATATCCACCTGAACAGGCAGATAATATTAACAACAATAATAATAATTCTTGCATTTGATATAGTGCCTTATCGTGTCACTGAGACGTCTCAAAGCGCTTCACAGAATATTGTATAAAGTGGAGTGACTGTATGTTTTGTGGGCGAAACATTGCAGCCAATTAGATACAACAGTGTCCCACAAACAGTCGTGGAAGAGTGACCAAATTATTTATTTATTTGATGAAGGAATTATTATTCCCGGAGGCAATCCGCCAATCGACTAACAACCGGTTTCCTACTTATTGCTAGGTAAGCAGAGGCATGTGGAGTAAGGAAACATGTCTAAGGTTTTGCCCTGCCCGGGAATCAAACCCAGGTCCTCTCACTTGTGAGGGGAGTGCTCTAACCAATACTCTACATGATTACAGGGCAACCAGCAGCATCTGTGAAAGGAAAACCCAGCATCTCATCTGGAAGCAAATCTGTTTAGCAGGCCTGCTTTTGGGAAATCCCATTTGGCCCATCTCTTTAAAGGCGTGTTGAAGCTGGGAATTCCCATGTGACATAGCCCTTCCTTCATAAAGGGAACTTATGTGCCCGGCTGATTCAAAACTCTGCCACCTGTATCCTCACCCATACCAAACTCCACACCCCCATCACCTCAGACCTTGTCGTGCTCCATTTGCTCCCATCAAAAACTCATCTACTGATCAATTCATGCCCTGACACCTCCCTACCTCTCCGACCTGCTCATAGCCCACTCCTCTACCTGTGCTATTTGTTCACCTGCCTTGGGCTTCCTGCACATCCCTCAACCCCTCCAATCCACCATTGGCGGCCTTACTGTCAGCCACTAATCTCTGAAATGCCCTGAATCTGCGTCAGGCTGTCACACTGATACTCTACAGTCTCGCTTAATACTATATCATTGACACTGTATACATAAATGCTTCCCTGGTACTTTACATGTAACCAATGAAGAGGGTTTCAGTGGTATCACACCGGCAATGTTTTATGTTACAGATACACTTTCAATCGGTATCACATCACAGAACAAGTTATATTACAATGTCACTATTTAAAGGCTTTTTAATTACTACAGTTGCATGACAATGGTATTATTGCACCCTTCAATTGTACCCCATACACGTATTCATAACATCCAAGCTTGACTATCCAAACTCCTTGCTTGTCGGCCTCCCCAATTCCTCCCTCCATAGACTGCAGATCATCCAGAATTCTGCAGCCCGTGTCCTCTCCCACACCAGGCTCTGTGGCCCTATCACCCCCATCCTCGCCCGACTCCACTGGCTTCCCATCACACAGAGGATACAGTTCAAGATACTGGTCCTCACCTTCAAAGCCCTCCATGGTCTCGATTTCCCACTACCTCCATGACCTCCTAGCTCCCTCTCGGCTCAGCAGGCTCCGGCCTGCTTCATGTGCCCCACTTTGCCCGCGCCACCAATGGGGCTGTGCGTTCTACCACTCTGCCCCCACCCTCTGGAACTCCATCCCGCAGTCCCTCTGCCTCGACCCCTTCCTTGCCTCCTTCAAGACCCATTTCAAGACCCTCCTCTTTGACCGTGCTTTCAATCACCCCGCTTCCCCCCCTGCCCTCCATCCTCCCCAATCCCAACCCCCAGCTCGGGTCCGAAACACTGACTGTTTAGCTCCTTGGGATGTCCTCCCGACGTCAAAGGCGCTATACAAATGTAATTTTTGTTGTTGTTCAATGATTCTATGCTGTAGTCTATCTGAGAAACATCAAACCATTACCAATAACACCACAGGGTCATATATCCTCAAACAACACAATCTTCAGTAATATCCCTGCACAGATTGAGCTCAGTTACAGACCCATATTGTAGCCTAAAGGCACACTCTTGTTTTGACAGTACCTTTGGTGCAATGCTATTGACTTTGAGCGTGATTACTATGGAGAATTCGGCTGGGAAGTGGTTGCAAACTTTAAAGATGTGAGAGGCTGAGAAGCTGATTGCCTTCAGATCCTTACCGAGGCGCAAGCCTCGGGCTCCCTGCGCCTGGACGATCCCCATTCCAATCAGGCGTCCCCCACGGTCTTCAGTTATTTCAGAGAGAAGGTCCAGTGGCTGCAAATCTAAATATATCAACAGAAAATAATCCACCCGATCACAGTGAAAATCCCACTCACAATAATAATAATCCTTGTATACAGCGCCTTATCACGTATTTGAGACATTTCAAAGCGCTTCACAGAATCCACTGTAAAGTGTATTACTGTGTATTTTGTGGGCAAAACACAGCAGCCAATTGCGCACAGCAGTTTCCCATAAACAGTGGTTAGAGTGACCAAATTATTATTACTTTTTTGAAGGGATTATTACCCCAAGAAAGGAATCCGACAATCGACTAACAATCATGTTCCAACTTGAGGCGTGTGGAGGAAGGAAACTTGCCTAAGGTTTCACCCCGCCTGGAATTGAGCCCTGGTCCTCGAAGCAAGTGCTATAGCCTATACACTATAGGTTCTGCTGAAAGCGGCAGAGCGATCGAGGAGGCAAAAAAGCTCTGGTCGCAGACAGAGAGGATGTCATTAGGACTCTAGCCAGAGCTGTGGGCGGGGAAGAATCCAGATCAAAGTTACTCGTACAGAGAGAGATGGGAAGGAGAGAACCTGGGAGGTGACAGTGCATTCCAGTACCTTGGAGAAGAAGGGCACGTCGGAGATGGGGTGATAACTTGAGAGTTTGAAGGAGTCCACAGAACCACAAAAAATTACAGCACAGAAGAAGGCTATTCAGAACATGTTCAATGGTTTTTTTTTGAGAAAGGGATATTAATAGTGGTTTTGAAGAGAGGGGTTACTATAGCCCAGCATAGGGGGAAAAAAGGCTTTGTGTGAGAATAGGGCACAGGGGAAGGCCCGTTATCCACATACCACTTCTTTCATTATTTCCATTTAATCCTGTAATCCCTGGATTGATGTAAATGCTGAAAAACCAGCACTTTAAAAAACAGTCTCACCTCTAACTACAGAGCTGAACAGTGTTCAAACAGAGAAGAAATGCCGAATAACAGTGGGTCAAGGTGGAAGCTGCCAAACCATTGTGAAGAGCTGTGTGGAAGCCACAATTACAATTGTAAACTTAGCCCACTAAATGAGCACCGTGGGGTTTCAGGCTGCGATACCCATCAATAATAACTAAAGTAGAAGAATGAAACATGGGATTTGTGTGCTGAGAACAGCCAGACCACTAAGTTGTTTAGCTTCTACAGCAAGTTTTATACAGTCAGACTGTTATACATCCACTGCACCTCATTTGGATCCTGAAAATAGCAAAGCGTACCTTATGACGGCTGCCGTCACCTATAAAATACAGTCACTACGCTTCACAGTAAATCCTGAAAAGCACTTTGAGATGCCTCGACAATGTCATCAGGCGTGTTATCAAATGCAAGAATTATTATTATTATGTCTTCCAATTGTTAAATATGAAAATGTTTCAATTCTTCCACTGCATTTTCTGTGACTGAACTAAAAGTTAAAAAGTCAAAATACAGTCAAACCTGTTGAACACAGGCGAAAGTGTCCTTTGTATAAGGGTGGCCTCTGAGTTGGTGTGCGAACCGGACTGTCCAGGTTGTCCTAGGGTGGTTGTGCACATAGGGTGATTGCTGATTGGAGATGGTTGCTTGAACAGGTTTGACTGTAATGACTTTTCCAATTCCGCCCCATTTCTCCTCTGACACACATGGAATCATTGTTGCCTTGCTGCTAAACAGTAGTGACGAACCTTCTGTGCTGACTCATTCTCTGTCTGATCTGTGCTATCTGAACAGGCGTATTTCCTCTGAACCAAGAGGAAACACTCAGGTCAATTGCAGAGAATTAAAATCACGCATGTTCAGAAATCTCTCTTCTCTGATCAAGCTTCAGGCAAAATTTCCGACACCATCTGGATCAGATAATAATTATTTTATATTAATAATTATGAAGATTAGATACCAGCTTCTAATTCACTCCCGCTATCCATCATTCTATGTAACGCCCGACCCACCCTACCATCGCTGGCCAAGCTTTCAGCATCTCTGCCTGGGGAACTCCCTTTGGAACTCCATCTCACAAACCCTGCATCTTGCTCCATCTCTTGCTTCCTTCAAGGCACGACTCAAGACCCTCCTTTTCGACCACCCCTTCAGCCGCCCTCCTATCTCTCCGCCCTCCCTCATCCCAACTCTGCCCCCCTGCTACGCTCGGGTTCTGATCCCTGACTGTTCAACGCCTTGGGATGTCCTCCCGACTTGAAAGGCGCTTTACAATTTTGTTGTTATTGTATAAATAACTTGAACTATTGAATTAGATTCCAGCCTGTAACTCACTCATAGGGATTCATTATTCTTATGTAAATTATTTACTGAATTAAAAAATATTTTCAATTATTAGCTAATTTCCGAGTCAGGGATTCCCCTGCAACTTTTCAAAATTCACACAGAGTCAGTCCACAAGACAGGTCTGTCCTGTAAAGGTGTTGAGCATGTGTGACAATTAGTTCTGAAATGCACAACAATAATAATCTTAAATTTGATACAGCGCCTTATCCCGTCGTCAAAATGTCTCAGGATATACTGTAAAGTGTAGTGACTGTGTATTTGTAGGCAAACGTACACAATGTAAGTATTACTAAAAACTAGTCAATTGTTTGCAGATTAGGGGTTGTATGTGTGTGAAAGGAATGATTTCTGAGTTACAGAGTCTCTCAGTAAATATGTCAGCGCACAGGGATGTTAACACTGTGTTTTTAATCTTCCATTCTTTCAGATCTGACATTTCAATATATACGTTTGTTTACCACAGCTAAATTGTGAGCTGGACCATGCTCTATAAACATGGTGTCTTTAAGTATAAAATAACCATTTTGTCTTCATTTAGAAACTATTACTTCAGTAGATGCAGTTAAGAATGACATCAATTTGGTTACAATTCATCACTGCAGTAAAAGTTGGATTAAAATCCATAGTTATTCAGATTTGTATTGTTTTCTTTGTTTATGTCAATGCTGATTTTCCTTCTCTATCACAACCATCGATCGACCTGCGCTATATATTTCTCAATCTCTTGCCTGGGGCACCTCAGTGGCTCATAATTGTACAATCTTTATCCAGTCTCTGTCCTTGCAGTGTCCCTGGACACTATCCTGTGTGAAGGGCGCTTTGTAAATGCAAGTTGTTGTCCTCCTGTTCAACACTGATTGCAAAATTATTCATATTCCAACGCCATTGTTCAACCCCATTAAGTCTCTCCTGTCTGTTCAGAATCACGTTTTATTCTGGACCCTCTATCTAACCTGCACAGCCTCTCACACTTAAGTTTTTTTATCCATCAGCCCCGCACCTTCCAAAGCGACTTCTCATATGTAGAATCTTTTTTAAAAAAAAACAATAAAGACCTTGATTTTCTTTCATGGCTACAAAACAGCTTACCACAAAATCTGCCAATCTGAACAGCAATTCCTGAGTTAGACTTAGAATCGTGCGTTACACCTCTTGTACAGGCTCTGATTTCTTGTTTGTCTGGTCCCACTGGCAGCATCTCTCTCTCATCTGGACAGGTGAGGTTTATCTGCACAATATTCCTCTCGCACGGTCTCGATCACAGTTTCTTTTTTAAAAAAGTCCATCTTTCTCCACTTCACAACTCATCGCTCACCTTTGAATATTCATGCAATTTCTCCTGCTCACTAACCTGTGTGGGTCTGGGCACGAAGTTCACAGCCTCACCTGTCCTCTCACCTTCTCCTCTCACAGCCTCACCTGTCCTCTCACCTTGTGCTCTCACAGCCTCACCTGTCCTCTCACCTTGTGCTCTCACAGTCTCACCTGTCCTCTCACCTTCTTCTCTCACAGCCTCACCTGTCCTCTCACCTTGTGCTCTCACAGCCTCACCTGTCCTCTCACCTTCTCCTCTCACAGCCTCACCTGTCCTCTCACCTTGTGCTCTCACAGTCTCACCTGTCCTCTCACCTTCTCCTCTCAGAGCCTCACCTGTCCTCTCACCTTCTCCTCTCACAGCCTCACCTGTCCTCTCACCTTGTGCTCTCACAGCCTCACCTGTCCTCTCACCTTGTGCTCTCACAGCCTCACCTGTCCTCTCACCTTCTCCTCTCACAGCCTCACCTGTCCTCTCACCTTGTGCTCTCACAGCCTCACCTGTCCTCTCACCTTCTCCTCTCACAGCCTCACCTGTCCTCTCACCTTCTCCTCTCACAGCCTCACCTGTCCTCTCACCTTCTCCTCTCACAGCCTCACCTGTCCTCTCACCTTCTCCTCTCACAGCCTCACCTGTCCTCTCACCTTGTGCTCTCACAGCCTCACCTGTCCTCTCACCTTGTGCTCTCACAGCCTCACCTGTCCTCTCACCTTGTGCTCTCACAGCCTCACCTGTCCTCTCACCTTGTGCTCTCACAGCCTCACCTGTCCTCTCACCTTGTGCTCTCACAGCCTCACCTGTCCTCTCACCTTGTGCTCTCACAGCCTCACCTGTCCTCTCACCTTCTCCTCTCACAGCCTCACCTGTCCTCTCACCTTGTGCTCTCACAGCCTCACCTGTCCTCTCACCTTGTGCTCTCACAGCCTCACCTGTCCTCCCACAGCCTCACCTGTGCACGCGGGGTGTCCCCTCACCGGGCTGCTGGTGATGCCGAGGTGCAGGAGCGCACAGAGCAGCAGGAGAGCAGACATCGGGAGCTCTCAGTCACATCCATCCAGAGGAACCCTCGTCTCCAACCTCCCGAATGTGCTCCGGGGAAAGCCCAGAGCCCGTGAGAAAGCGAAACCCCTCTCCCGTCTCCTTCATCCCGGGACAGGATCCCAACCCACAGCAAGTGCCCCCCCCCACAGACAGCCTGTCCCCAGCCCGGCTCAGGGGCTGCGCTACTGGTCGATCTGTGCTGGACCGCGCACAACCATCCCCGGGCAACAGGGGAGGGTGTGGGGGCAGTGAGTGTGGGTGGGGGGGAGGTGGGTGGGTGGGTGGGGGGTTGCAGTTGACTGATTTTCCTGCAAAAAACCCTCCCCTGATCAGGGAGAGAATCTGCCTCCACCCCCTGTTTTTTCAAGGTCCACGTTACAGGGAGACCTGTGGTGAGGAACTCTCTCTCTCTCTCTTTCTCCTTTTTTTTAAAAAAAAAGGATGCGCTCAACCTGGAAAAGGCGGAATGGGTTTCGAACTGCCTCCAGATCGCCAGTGACATCAGCCCCGCAATTAGCTCGCAGTCAAATCAGAGCGAGTTAGTTCCCTGGCACCACAAGCTCCCGGTGCATTGACTGACACACAGTGTCTCAGTGGAGCCCCCAAAGAAACCTGATCCTTTCATCTCTTGCCAGTCCCTCAGACTGCAAACCAGAGGAATTTCCCCCATTTAAATGCTCCTTATATATACTGTGTGTTTATATATATGTATATATATATATATATACACATAAGCCTTCTGCAGCTATATAACTTCTGAAATATTTCCAGCCACAATCATAACTTGTCTTAAGATTTGTAAACTCCCTCAACCCTCCGCAAACACGAACGTGCCTTTTCGTTCTGAGACTGTGTGAAACTTCCCCCCCCGGGGCGCCATGCATCACTTTAAATGTTGCAGGAGTTGGAAGATTTTAAGGGCGACTCCTCACCCTGCCAACGCTCAGCCAAGTTTTCCTTTGTCGGTTCCTCCAAACTCTGAGTCATCAGGTTAGTGAGGACTGTTTCTGTCCCCGAGTTCTTCAAGCAATTCTGCTTTCAGTTGCAGCGCATCGAAAAATGAGAGACCAACATCCAGCTTGACCCAGCATTGGTGCACCTTAAGGCCATCCATGGCCTTGCCCCCTCCTACCTCTCTGACCTGCTGACTCCCTACCAACCTGCCCGCTTCCTCCGTTCAGCGGGCTCCAGTCTGCTCCATGTCTCCCGCCCAACCTATCATTGGGCTTTCAGCCTCTCTGCCCCCACACTCAAGGAACTCCATCCCACGGTCTCTTCACCTCGCTTCCTCCCTTGTCTCCTTCAAGGCCAGTCTCAAGACCCTTCTCTTCGACCGTGTCTTTGGTCTCCCTCCCACCTCTTTGCCTTCCCTCACCCGTACACCACCTCTCCCCCATGCTCGGGTCCCGACACCTAACTGTTCAGTGCTTTGGAACCTCCTCCCGACGTGAAAGGCGCTCTATAAATGTAATTTTGTTGTTGTTGTGTTCCTTAGCGTGTTACTCTGATGTCTCATGTGGAGACTTTAAAAAAACGTCAGCTACAGGGGTATGGGGAAAATGCAGGTAAGTGGGACTGAAAGGATTACACAATGGGCTAAAATGGTCTTCTTCTGTGCCATAATGGTTCAATCCTAGTGAACGAGCTCTTTAGCCAGCCTTCAAGAGGAGATCACCATAACTGGATACAATACAAATTTACATTTGTATGGCACCTTTCACGTTGGGAGGACGTCCCAAGATGCTTAAATCTTGAGACAGCTCCACATCTTTACCCCATAGCTGACCACTTCAACCCTGGAATACTATCACACCTCTCATACATAGGGCAGGACTCTTCCCAAGGACTCACTGTTTTACTGAACCAGGTTACAAAGCTGTGGTGCCTCACCAAGGGTCACACAGCTTGGATCGCAATCTATTCTCACCATTGTGAGCATCTGCAAGAATAAGAAACAAAAACCTTCGAAATCGGACAAGATTTTTAAGGCAGGACATGTTTTCAGAATTGACAATCCTGCAGGCTGTGCCTCCGACCAATAGCTGGGCTGTACTTATTGCTGGTAGCCAGCAGCGAGTTGCTGTGCTTTCATATGCTGGATGAATGCTGCCAAACATGCAATCGGCTTTGCTCAGCATCTTTAGTTTTGTAGCAATTTACACTGAACATTTGCCCTCAAAGTACAGATCATTGACTGCTTCAACACATTGGTTGCTGGTGCAAGACACTGGCACCAGTGTCTTCATGAGTTCCCAAGTCTGCTGGTATGTTGGTAACAGTTTCCACTACCTTCCTCACCTCCTCCCATTCAAATTTTTTGTATCATCAAAAGGCAGCATTGTCAATCAGACACAATTACAAAGACTGTGGTTTCCCACAGCATAGGCTGTGAGCTGAAGACTGGCAGTGGCACTGCAAACTCCTACTTTTTTAGGCCGTAGCTTATACACTTAATATACAACAAGTGTGGCCCATTGATCTGGAAGTACAATTTTATGACTATTTCCAGTGGTCTTGCTTTCTGGGAGCACAGGCTAAGAAAGGTTTAACATCTATGTGTGAGGAAACATTCCAGCTGCTAAGTTTTATCTTCAAAACCCAATTCAATAGGACCTTTTTATCCAAGACCTGGGCATAAGCAGATCGCCCTAATGTGCAAGAGAGTGTATAATTACAGACATATCTTAACCAAGTGAGAACAATATGTGATCAGAATGGCAACTTTTGCAACAGTTCATCATTGTCATTTATCTCATCCATCTACAGAGCCAAGCATTTGCCAGGAACAGATCCGGTGTGCATGTTCTGATGAAGGAGATGAAACAATCCAGGACAAATACCATGACTCCACCAATTTGCGATGTAATAAAAGTCAGAGAACAGAGGTACTATGAACTGATAGACCTTGTGCCAAGCTAAGTATCCCCTGAAGTCGGGGCCACGACAGACACTTCCAATGAAAACAGCATCTTGTGGTCTCCTGCATTAAAACTTCTAAACTGCATTACCTCAACAGATGATGTTTGCCTTCCTTCAGATTCCCCATCACCTCTCTTGGGAGATCTGTCTACAAGACATCATCCCATTCGCTCCAAGATGATTATATGGGGTGCGTTTCACAATCTCTTTGGTTCGGTGCAGTTTCAATGTTATGAATAATAATCCTTGTATTTGCTATAGTGCCTTACCATATGATCAAGTGGTAAGGCGCTATATGTCACATGATATACTGTAAAGTGGATTGACTATGGATATGGGCAAAATGTGGAAGCCAATTGCATACAGCAATGTCCCACAAACAGTCATTTTATTTTCAGCAACTGAATGTTGTAATAACATCACGTACACCGATTAGAATCATAGAATTAGAAGGAGGCCATTCATCCCATTGTGTCTGTGCCGGCTCTTTGAAAGGAGCTATCGAAATCAATCCCGCTCCCCCACTCTCTCCCCATAGCCCTGCAAACTTGTCCTCCCCAAATAATTATCTACTTCTCTCTTAAAAGTTGTTATCAAATCGGTCTCCACTGCCTTTTCAGGCAATGCATTCCAGATCCAAACAACTCACTGTGTGAAAACATTTCTCCTCACCTTCCCTCTGTTTCTTTTAACAAATTGGTGTCCTCGGGTTACCAACCCACCCCCATTGGAAATAATTTCTCCTTGTTCACCCTGACGAATCATCTCATAATTTTGAAAATTTCTATTAAGTCTCCTCTTAACCTCCTCTGCTGCAAGGAGAATAATCCTAGCTTCTCTAGGCTCTCCTGATAACTGAAGTCCCTCATTCCCGGTACCATCCTGGTAAATCTCCTTTGCATCCTCTCCAATGCCTTGACATCCTTCCTAAAGTGTGGTGCTCAGAACTGTACACAATACTCTAGCTGAGGCCTAACCAATATTTTATAAAAATTAAATTGGATTATATACCATTTTGCAAATATATCACATGAAACAATAAACAGTAAGATGTAAGAGAAAAATTACTAAGGGAGCTAAACCATAATTTATCATATTTCCTGTGTGCTCCTTGTGTATTAAATACCCTTAGGTGTAAATGAAAAATGTTCAATTGTTGAGACTGAATATGCTTGTTCGTGGAACAAGTTTAAACTAGGGAAATTCACATAAGGTAGAAAATAACCACATCAGCCCCATTCACCCCCATATTGTCTCAGTGCATGAGCTGAAGTACTCTTTGCAAGAGTTATGTTAAGTACTTTTCTGTGTGAAGTTACATTCCGTGAAGGAAGATCAGACCTTAACAAAGTTCTCCGGGAGTAAAAGGAGTCTGAAAACACTCATGGAATCTAGATCCAGACAGCCTGCAAAGGAAGTCAACCTGGAGGCATGCAACAAAGGGCCACCTACTCTGACTGCAATGAAGATATCACTTCATTCTCCCGAGTATTGGTTCTTCAATGACAATACCAACATGAAAGTTACTATATAAATGCGAATTGCATTGTAATTCTATTGCATTGTGTGTGAGACATCAGGATTAATTCCATATTGTCCACTACACTATCATATTTGTAGATTTGATCATGCCCTTTTAAGATAGGAGGAACAAGAGTGTGCCTTATATAATTTCCTAAGGAATGGCCTATTCCTGGGAAATTCCCTGTTGGGAGTTGTAAGATTGCCCAAGATTAAAAAAAAACACGACAGAGAATGTTAATCCAATTAATCTAACAGATATAAGGCAAATATTTAAAAGCATTTTACATGACACTTTCAACGTTCATCAGAAAACAATCCAGACAGGAAAATGTGGATTTAAAAGCCATTGGACATGCCAAACAAATCTACTGAAATTCCTATAGGATTTAATTATACTGGTGGATTATTTTTGATCTGTCACACACAGAAACCCATCAGAATGCTTAAGAATATCAAAACCAGACAGAGTTCCACATATCAAAGTCACCTACACATGGAAATTGAGCGTCTGGAAATTAAATGGGCACACTCTCCCTGGAGGGATGGA